CCTACATTAACTTCATCTACTTCAGCCGCTGCTCCAGCCGGTACAACATTTGTACCGTCCTCCATCTCCTCACCTGTCTTTCCCTCTTTGTTACAGACTGGATGAGGTGGAGTCACATCTCTGACGTAGGACAGCGTGTTAGAGGGACATGAGACCATCGCTTACCAACACACATCCAAAACTTTTTTTTATTATTTTTTTGCCGCCGAATATATTGACATGGGCAAAATGACGTTGGTTACTGTCGTAAATTTTGGTATCGGTAAATGTTTGGTTTATCATCCAGCCCTAACAATTACTATTGATGAGTTTAAAAACAAACGTTCCCTTTATGTCCCATAAGGTGATGAACGTTATCTTGTGAAAACAAGTCATTAGCTTGTTTATCTGCAAGAGACAATATAACTTATCTACAACACAAGATATTTTATAATATGAAAATTAATCAATTTAAAGAAATAAATTTTACCCAATTTTAACCGTCTAGATTCTGTATTTTTTTAAATGTAATTTAGATGTTGCACTTTAACCCATTATTTGATTACTATTTATCTCAAAAAGCAACTGTGAGTTGCATAACTGATCTCCAAGTACTTAACCAAAATAATTATGACAGCTGTTAAGCAATATACAGTGTAGTATAGATATAGCCCAGATTTAGACTTGGTCTAACCTTGGTCTAAATTTAGACATCTAAAAAACTTTCATTTTTAGACCTGTGGTAGCCTGATTTTAGACCAGTCGTCTAGGGTACATTTAGACGTCTATTAGACCTCTTTTAGACCAAAAAATGCTCAGTGGGAAACTGATAAATAATTGAAAACTTATTGATCTTTCAAAAAAGAGATTTCAGGGTTTGGCCTCCAGTTGCGCTGAAACGATCAAATACAGATAGCAACGTTCAAAACGTAAACACTGTGGGTTTAAAGCATGAGATACTAAATATAGAACGAAAGACCAAGACCAACACTATCACTAGGCAAGCTGTAATATCTGCAAGACTCTGGAGAACCCTGTATAAAGTTCAATAACAACTTTCTAAAAATAGTTAGCAACACTTTAAGATACAGCACATAAACAAGGGAGTTGTTTCCAAAGGGTGAGAGAGGAATGAATCAGGATGAAGCTGACTGTAAATGAGCTGTAGAAGTCTGAATACCTCTAAATGGAGGACTCTGAGTAGATGATGATTAGTCACTAGAGAACAGACTGAGATTACTCCATTAATGAATCATTAGGCAATCATTAGTTTATAAGTTTCCGTCAATCAGAGGAGCAGTCACTTACTTTTCTGAACGTATGAATCAGCACTTGAGTGGAAAGAATATTTGCGTAATTTATTCCTAAATACTCTCAAGCAACTCTTCCCAAGCACTCATGAGACATTTGACATGTTATACCATCTAGTTACCGAACACAAAAGTGATGATATACCATGTTGCCTCAAAATATCAGTGATTAAGTTGAACAGATAAGTGGTATCAGTGCTGATAGACAGGCAGATGCTGTGTATCTTCACATGATTTGATTAAAGGAACTGTTGAAGTGGAATTACAGCCGTCATATTTGGGGTTTAATTCCAGCTGGGTCTTTTAACTGGATGGACTGAGTAATGAGTTCATTGTGTGGGAGGGGATACAGTCTTATGCTAATGCCTAGAAGTTAAAGGCAACTGATGCAGCTCTCTTTTAAGACTGTCGAGATGAGGCGAAAGGAAGTCCTGGTGGTTTCGACTGGTTTAAAAATGAATGAAGCACTCATTTTGGCTCACATATCCATAAAGCTGACATTTTCCAGCATTAAGAGTAATTTCTGAAAATGTGCCCCCTGAGAAAATGTCAATAAATCCAGTATAATTCATTTTGGGTATAAAAAGGTCTCATCCATCATGGGTGACATTTTCAGCTCTCGCACAAAGGTGTGATGGCTGCTATCTCACACTGACTAGCAATCACCTGTGTGGGTGTCGGTTTAATTTCTAAATACACTCATTTTGATGGACCAGTGCTAAAGATGTGGGAAGAGAAAGTTCACCCAATAAGTGATGATAGCTTCTCTACTTTTTTTTTTCTTTTTAATTTATTTTTTCTACAAGTTTGAGGCACATCAACCTTTGTCTAACACTCATTCTCCACAGATATGGGGAGTTTCTCTGAAGGAGCATCAGCAGTTCAAAATCTGAAGCCAGTGCGGAAATGCTTTAAACTGCAGGCAGAGACTACAAGAGTTTGACTTTACGAGACTGAGTGAAAATCCACTCTAATAAAGACGGTTTATCACCACTTTCTAAATAGATTTTGGTTTTAAGAAGTCTTAAAAATGAAATATTGTTCACTTTGTAGATTTTAGCCCTATTCAGAGAAGCACTAACAAAAAATTGTGTTGCTTGTCATTAAAAAATAGCTCACCTGTAGATCTATAATAAGTTGTCAAACTGTTCTTCAAATATGGTCACCTGTGGCTCTAAAGCCTACCAACCTACAAACAATCAATCAAATAAATACACGAGATAGCCCGGCAAAAAAAACCCGCTTGACTCGCATCTGTCAAGTAGTTGTCCAAAAAGATGCATTAATATCACGGTGGCATTGTTCACTTCATCCTCATCACCTATAACCCGGAATAAACTTTCCAACTGTGTGCACTCAGATTCTGTTTCTATGCTGACATTAGCATTTCAGCAAAAGCACTGTGAGGATTGTGAATCTATCTAAGGGATGACAAAGGTTGTGCCATCCTCCTGGGATTCAATTGGTGGTAGTGAACAGTTGGTTAAAGTGCAGAGCAGAGCCAAAAAATGTGGTTTTATCCCCCAGGGTAGCAGACCTATTGTAATCCTTTATAAAATACAAAACTAGTAGAAAAATCATTGATACTTGCTTTGGTAGTACAGCAATAAAAAATGAACTCCTGGGCACTCACAAATAAAGCATAATGTTAGTGGCTCAACCCACAGTACATCAGCTGCCAGCTCACACCAACTGACCACCCAGCCAATTATCTTCTGCATATCCAATTAGCAAATGTCAAAGTGGGTGTGCTACAGTATTACAACTGCTTTAGCCTGCATACTCTGCCTGCTTCCTCCACAAGTCAGTGTACAACCCCTCTTCCCCTCAACCCCTGTACAACCCCCGCTCCTCCTCTTGACACTGTCTGATTTTATCAGTGTAATATGTATTGTCAGGGATGCCTGCTATGTTCTGTACCCTGAGGAGTCTTTGCTGCTGCTCTCCCTGCCTTGGCTTTTAATGTATTGTATTTTTCGGGTGATAAGGCACAGCGGAATTAACTGTGTCTATGTTCAGCGTACCATTATGCTCCGAATATCCATTGAGCGGAGCGGCTTCGTTGCTTACCATAGTCGTACTTATACCTTTCGACAGATTTTTGAGCGCATTGTACCACATAAAATCGGTCAGTAAGCACAAATACACATGAAGTGCGCTGGATTATAAGGCGCACTGTCACTTTTTGCGAAATTTTACAGATTTTTAGTGCACCTTATAGTCCGAAAAATACGCTATGCAAATGAAACACAGGAAGGTGTGCTCTGCCTGCCACAGGTTTTGTTATTCCATGTATGCAGGTGGACGTACAGGGAGGTCTTAGAACACATCGCCGAATATAACAGATGATTAAAGATGAAAGTAGACCTCACTGAAATTGTTTTTTTTTTTTTTTGCCTCATTTCAAAGAGAGCAGGTTCAGAGGAAGTTACTGACAGAATTTCAAAATCAAAATTTGTTGTCTCACTTTCTGTTTCACTTCCATCCCTTTGATTTATTAGCAGTGCTAACTCTCTTTGGATCCTCATCCTCATAGTACAGATATTTCCACATATCTGTACTGCTTTGAAACGATAGAGATTTGGTGTTTTAAAACGACGCCAAAGTCCTTCACGCGGAAAAAAAAGCAGATGTGATGAAGCTTCTCTGTGTCTGTCAGTGACCCAAAGCTATTAAGACACTTAATGCTGGTATTTTCCATTAGATGGGACTTGTATTTTTCAAGTGTGGAGATAAAACAGTGGGGGAGCAGCGAACAGCATCATTTCTAAAACAGAATGGAGCAGCTTTTGCACAGCAGTATGCTATTTTGGATTTGGTTGGAGTTAAGAAGGAATGGATAAAAGATTGTTTTTAATTAAAGGAGATTTCTCATTTGTGAGAGATTGAACTGATTTACGTATGAGATGTTTCTGTGTCTTTTGATGTCTACAACAAACAATTCAAGGTTGAGTGTTGCTTCACTGGTTTTGTGCTGCACTGGTGTGCAAAATCTGGATTATACAAACAAGGAGGTGTCATAAAGAGTAAGATATAATCAACAAGGGATAACACAAAATGAAAATGAGAAGGTTGACTGAGCTAAGGGGTTTGCAGTCTGTTAGGAAATAAACAAATAAGCTAAGGAGGTTTTTCTAAATCCCCACACATCAATAACGTCGAAAGATACTCTTAAATCAATAAGACAGACAGCTGATAGAGAGCACTGGCCTGTTGGTGACATCAGACCCCCTCTTTTATTGGAATATTGCTGCCACTGTGCAAGTGGTCTGGTGGCAAATTGGACCGAGACGGCAAGTAAGACATGGACTTTCATCATAATTCAGTTTTTTTTTTTTTTTTTTCTTAAGTCAAGTGGACCGTTGGATTTTGTCTCAGTTCATTGTCTGTGATTATTTGTGACCTCTTCAGATCATCTTTGTGAAATTGAGTTCTACCTGCTACATCTGAAAAGAGCCAGGGGCAAAGGAAAGACATCTGCAATATCCAGAGAGCACCCAGGCGCGGACTGTGAGTTTTATTTGACACCGCAGAAGAGAAAAGGGGCTTGCAATAGACAAAAATTAAAAATCTAAAAAAGAAACCTTTGCTAAAGTCAATAAAAACAAGCTTAAATCACTAGATCTACAAAGAAGGAATTCATGATAAACAACTCGCTGAGCAATAGACAGCTATTAGACGTCTAGTTTTTTTTTAGACCCAATTTCAACCGTCTAGATTCTGTGTATTTTTAGACCCAATTTAGACGTTGCACTTTAACTCATTATTCGATAACTATTTATTTCAGAAAGCAACTGTGAGTTGCATAACTAATCTCCAAGTACTTGACCAAAATAATTATGATAGCTGTTAAGCAATTTATGGTGTAGTATAGATATAGCCCAGATTTAGGTTTAGTCTAAACTTGGTCTAAATTTAGACGTGTGGAAAACTTTAATTTTTAGACCTGTGGTAGCCTGATTTTAGACCAGTTGTCTAGGCTACATTTAGACATCTATTAGACCTCTTTTAGACCGAAAAATGCTTAGTGGGGAGGTTTAAAGATAACACAAACAGACACAGAAAGTAGGGCAAAGACTAAATACACAGGGGAGGTGAGGGTAAATTGACACAGGTGAGATAACAGTCACAGGTGATGACAATAAAAGCACATAAGCAAAAGACAGAAAAAGCCATGAAGTAGAGCAACAAGCAGAAGAAAATGGTGAGACACACAATGAAGCAGTGTATGAAAACTTGACAATATAATGAATAAAACAAAACTTTACAACTACAGGTACTGTTTCCAACACTAATATGCATGTAGATACCAGTATACACGTGGATATCAACACCAATGTGGAAACCAATGCAAACATGGATACCTATACCGATGTTGATACAAATACTATTATTGATACAAGTTCCAATACCAATATACATGTAGATACCAATACCATTGTGGATACTAATACTAATGCGGATATCAGTACCAATGTTCTAGTGAATACTGATGTGAATACCATTGCCAATGTGGAAACCAATACAAAAATGAATACCTATACTAACATTGATACCAATACAAAAATGGATACCTATACTAATGTTGATACCAATACAAAAATGGATACCTATATTATTGATACAAGTTCCAATACCAATACTGTCATTGTTGCAAAATTTTCAATACCATTTACCAAAATGATACCAGTACTGTAAGTAACATAGAAACCAAAACCAAAATCATGTCGTGGATATTATAACAGATATCAATGCTGCTACAGACACTATATCAGTTGGGGTCAACTGGGCTAGTCGACCAGCTGTACATGCCCAACACTAAGAAGAACTTTTTGAGGGCTTAAAGAATTAATTTTTGCCGTGCCAAATAAACAGGGTCTCTAAAAAACGCCTTGGTTTCCATTACTGGGAGCATTTGCACTGAGTTTGCTGACCTGAGAAAAAACAGGGATCCAAAACCACTTACTGTTTAAGACTGCAGACAACTTGAGCAAGATCATCTGGCTTTGTAGATAAATCTGTGGATCTTCATGGATATTATGCATATGATTAAATCTTTTATTGGACTTTAATCAGAACAGAAGAGAACACAGAGAACAGATTAACTGTCATCAAATGATGCCAGTACTGATAGGAAAATCAATACTGGTCACAATGGCGTCAGCACGATGATTAACTTCCAGTAACTTGCATTTCTGTTATCCTACTGGTGCAAACGGATATTTAAAGGGATATTCCGGCGTAAAATAAAGTTAGGGTCAAACACGAGTTAGACACCCCGTCAGGAGATGAATGTTGCCAACTGCTTGCTTCTCTAGTTATACTAACTTTAGTAACGAGCGTAGATAGCAATACAGAGAGCCACGCGCTCAACCAAAAAGCCACTCTATAGCCACAACTAATGCTCAGAACAGCACCTAACTTCATCAACAGTACATATAGGGTCCTAGCCACAGCACTAGCCACCAAACATCTTTTTAACTTTGCCTGATTTCTTCAGCAAAGAGACTAAACACAACTCACCCACTCTCTTCCGGCAGCCTCTTGTTTGTACGGGCGAGTCCATCGACTGCAGCAGGGTGACACAGCTCAAGGAAGAACATTAATGATCATTTCTTCATGGAAATGCAATCAGACCAATGCAGAAGAACTACCACATCTGCAGTGCAAAATGATTAATATGATGATTATTAATGATAAAGTAATGATCATAAATGTTCTTCCTTGAGCTGTGTCACCCTGCTGCAGTCGATGGACTGGCCCGGAGGTCTCTGTAAAAAACAAACAAAGAGAGTAGCTGGAAGAGAGTAGGTAAGTTGTGTTTAGTCTCTTTGCTCAAGAAACGAGGCAAAGCTAAAAAGATGTTTGGTGGCTAATACTATGGCTGGGACCCTATATGTACTTTTGATGAAGTTAGTTGAGTCTAACTCAGTGTTATGGTGTGTTTGGCCCTAACTTAATTTTACGCCGGAATATCCCGTTAAGACTGACCAGGTTTCGTGGCATCAAGGCACTGGAACAACGTCCTTTAACAAGAGGGACATTACATGACATCTAAACTGTATACATACTTAAGGGTTGCATAGCCGGAGTTGATCCCCACTTTAGTGAGGTGGGCTACACCCTGGGCAGGTTGCCAGTCAATTAAAAGGGCTTATAAATAGTGATGACAACCGTTCACTCTCTTACAAACAAACTCACACCTCTTAACCGCACAAGCAGGTCTTTGGGCTGTGGGCAGAGGCTGAAGAACCCACAGAGAACCCATAAAAGCAAAAGGGCAATTATACAAACTCCATGCAGACAGTCTTCATCTGACTGGAGGATTCAAACCAGATACACCATGCAGTGAGGCGACAGTGCAAACCAGTTGCTGCTTTGATACAAGAATTTTAATCAGTACTTCAAAGAAACAGTTAAAGAATCTATCCACCTTTTTTTCCAGGATATTTAACCCTTTTTTAATAACGGTCCATGCTTCTGCGTACAATGATTTGAGCAGTTGCTAGGTGAAGATTCTTGGGCAGTGGTTGGTGATAAAATTTGTTTGATTTTTTGGCACAGGTTCCAGAGTAAAAAGCTGTTGGCTCAGTATGTAGTGTGTCCTGCTTTGTGCTGCATACAGTTTTTTTTATGCACCTTCACATCCCTCCACTCCCCACCCCTCGCCCTTTATTATGCCGCACATGGGTGGACATGGGACCCAACTAGTCCTGCTCCAGCTGCATCTGCCTTTGCGCCACAGGGAATGATCTGTGTTCGTGTGTATATGTGTGTGTGTGCCAGTGTGTGTATGCATATGTGTGCGTGAAGGCTGCCAGAAAATATGGGCAGAGGGGATTGCAGGGGTTCTGCACTCACCAGAGCCATTCACAGGCTTCAGCATCACACAGTTGATTCAGCACCTTGCTAATAGCGCACACATTAAACTGCAGCACATGGGTGGACATGGGACCCAACTAGTCCTGCTCCAGCTGCATCTGCCTTTGCGCCACAGGGAATGATCTGTGTTCGTGTGTATATGTGTGTGTGTGCCAGTGTGTGTTTGGAAGAGAGAGAGAGAGGGGGAGAGAGAGAGAGAAGAGAGAGAGGGGAAGGCAGAGAGAGAGAGAGAGCGGACGTGTGTTAGTGAGTGCTGGGAGGAAGGATGGCTGCTCATGTTTGAACTGCCTCACATGCTCAAAGGAGGAAAAGCCAAGGCTAAAACCCAGAGAAGAAGAAGACGTCTTGCAGGAGGAAACATCTCGCTCATCATTTTTGGAGAAGCAGAAAAGGTTTGGCAATGCCTGCTGAAGTGAAAGAGGTAAGTGTGTGTGTACTGGAATGGCTCTATTTGAAATGTACCCTCCCTCTTTTTTTGCCTATCAGGTTTTTTTTTTTTTGCCTGCAGAGAACTGTACACCCTGCACAGCTTTTGCATTCTGCCTCTGTCATGATCAATGAAGGAGGGACCAATCGCTTCACCTCCTCGCCTCTCAATGCTGCTGTTCGGTGCAGTCTCCTTGTATGCAGGGGGCTGGGAGGAAGGATGGCTGCTCATGTTTGAACTGCCTCACATGCTCAAAGGAGGAAAAGCCAAGGCTAAAACCCAGAGAAGAAGAAGACGTCTTACAGGAGGAAAATGCTGCACACACTCTGCTAAGTGTATTGCCGTGATGTATCAGAGAGGCATTAAATCTGACCATGCAGCATTTAACTATTTGGGGATCAGGGGAGTGCAAATCTGCTACCAGAAACTTTGCAAAGGGAATACCCATCCCTCTTTTTGTTTTGACCTGTCATGTTCAATCACTGTGTTCTCTAAATAGACCAGCCTGGTTGAATTATGCTGAACAAGATGTGTTGCGTAATGGACAATTGTCTCTCTGCAGGAAACAAGTCTTAAATAAGAATGAAGGATAACAATGCACAGTGACACGTTCTGTGAATTTACACTGACCAGCCTGAGCATGAGTGATTCAACAGATAGTGGAGGGGCAGATGAGTTGTGACAAAGTTGTCACTGATGTTTCCTGACATCAGTGGACTGATGTCGTGTTTTATTATCTCTCAGGCGCACTACTCTTGCAGTCCCACTGTTGATAGAGTCAAACTGCCAATTAAAGCAAGTCTTCCTTCAAGTTTGATCAATCCAAACTGGCCTTTCCCGGCTGATTAAACCGTAATTGAAAGCACCCATTTTTCAGATTCTCTTTTCCGTCTGTGAAATGGATTTGAGACAAGTTTGAGTCATGACTTGTGACTGTCATGCCCTTGAGCTGGTTACTGAAAAATTTGAAATCACCCAGCATTAAATCTGACTCTGTGCTCCCAAAAATAATACCCTGGCTGTAGCTGGCCTCAATACTGCAAGTGGAGGGGAACAAGATGCTAATCATGTCATCCTGTCTCCTGCATGGCTGCACCTAACATCTATATCCCTTACCTCCTTTTTTTTTAAAAAGCAAAGTCAGATTCAGAATCATCAACTCGACCTATTTGGCTCCACGAGCATGCAATTTCTCCCATGTGACCCCTTTCATCTGCTCGTCCCTCCGACACATTTTGTACAATGGATATGAGGGGCTCTTGTGTTTGGTGAGGTGTTTGAAAGGCGAATCAAGCTTTCTCTCCACATTCACTGCAGCCTGATTTAATGCAGAGGAGTTTGATTCTCAGCACTTGTTCAGTTTAATGCCGCAGCCACAGTAAAAAAGAGAGTTTGGGGAGATTTTAAAAGCTTATTTGTTTCTTTTTTTTTCACCTCTGTGTATTTTGTGTCCACGCTATTTAGTGATACAAATCAGGTGAGGTGCATTTCTATCATATCTCTTTAGACCAAAACTGGCTCTGGGATTACAAATGAAGAATTTAGGAATTAAACTGTTCATAAATGATGCAGTGAATTTGATTTTCTGTGATTTTCTTTGATTTTGAACGAGTGAGTTATTTAAATGAGCCTTGACTCACAGAAGGAGGCCCTCAGACATAAAAGCAGATAGATTAGATAAGCAGATATTGATAGAGATTATTAGAGCAGCCAAGCAGATCTTTGGAGGACAGGAAGATTCCGTCTGTTCATTTAAAAAGCCGCCTAACAATATATCCAATCAACCTTCCCCAGAGGTGTTTGGGCCCGGATCATCTCCCCTCTGGTTAATGAAAAACATTTTGTTCGAGAGACAAAGATAATTTAAGTTCCACTTGAAAAGGCAAGGAAAAAATTAGAGAAATGTCCACATGTTGTAGCAAAATAACAGCTGGGGGGACAGAGTTAAGCAGATGTGGCGGTTAATCAGGACTCCTTATATCACATGACTTGAAAGACAAGAAGTAATGGCTCATGTCCAGTCTCATAATAATGTAACTGTGCTTTAACAAAGGGCTTTTTTTATACCTACACAATAAGAGGGGGTTCAACTGGAACAAACAACCATAATTATTATTAAAAAGTTAATATCTGCATAAAGAAGCGGCATTGTAGCATAGCAAATATTAAAACTAGTTTTGTTTGGTCCTCTTCTTTAGACACAGCAGTCTGATTTGCAGTAATTCAACCCCCAAACTTGCAGATTAAGGGACAAAATTCTCCTCTCTGAACTCATCACAACAGTTTAAACACTTGTAAAGTTGGATGACAACTTTATCTATTTAAAAAAAAAGGCTTGAGGCAAAATTTACACAAAAATTCATCCTGAAAGTTCAGACATTGCATGCTTTGGCTCCAATAAATGACAAACCACTCCAGTGCACATTAACAACTCATGCATGAACGCATGCCTCCATTAAAACTGATGTATCAGGGATATTTTTTTAATATTATAAACATCACCGAAAATGAAATGCAGTCTAGTCTGCAGAGAAGGATGTAAGACACTTGAGAAACCTTTCATCTTTATGGAATAAAAGCTGAATTTCATCTCTTTTATTGAGTTATATCTCTTAATTTCTTTTTTTGCTGTCCACATGCGATCACTGGCGGGAGAGCTCTGTGCTCGGTTGAGTATTGTTTTCCATTTGACAGACTGCCCAATAAGATTACAGCCAGCAATAAAGATTAAACACACAGAAAATGTCTCTCATTTCTCATAAATGTATTTGTCTTCTCTGAGTTTATTGGCATTTCTCAGTCTGAACTCAAGAGTGCTTGTTTCAAGTTACTGAAACAAATTATGGGGTTGAAATGAGTTTAGCGCTCGTCTCACCGCTCATTTTTAAGCATTAAGTGCTGCTCCCTTATCATGTAAAGACAGCCTTGATTACATGGTGGGCCGCTGTAAAACAAACACCAAGTACTTAAAGCTCCTCTGACGACTTTTGAGTCGGTTATGAAACTCACAGAAATTAATACAGTTGCCTTCTTGTGACCTACAAAATACAACACCATGAGTGAGAAGATTATTCTCTTTATAGTTATTTTTAATTCCTGGAACTGATGCCACCGGGTTGATGTCAAACCAGGCGATTAACAGCATGCAGCAGAGAAAGACTTTGTTTATGTTTATCACGGCTCACAGCGTGTGATACGCTTCAGTCAAAAGACAGCAGGATGACTTTTTCTGTGAGGAAACGCCACTTATGTATGTTTGGGATGGGATCAGCGTGGTAAATGTAGTGCTTCCATCGAAGGGGAAGACGGATCAACAGGAAATAGTTTACCTAACTGAATATCTGTTTTGTTTTTTTGTGTGTTCTAGGAGCAGAGTGCAGAGGGTCCTCCTCCCCCGCTGTCTTTGTCCCAGGAGGCTAAAGAAGCAACTCTTGATAACCCATCCACTAACGAAGAACTGGACACGCCCACCTCCATAGCCTCTGTCGTGACCTCGACCAATGAGAGCTCCACAGAGACAGACACCCCACAGCAGACTGACACAGAGGTTCATATCATCGATGTTTGTTTGAGATTTTGATCTATTGATGAAAAGTACAGACACTAGAGTCCCAGAGCACTTAAGAAAACTTTTGGGGACATTCCACTTCTTCTTCCTAAATAATAATCAACTGTTTTTAACTTGTGAACACATATTATGTTATATATTTGACATCAAGTTTTCAGTGTTGTGACTTAGAGAGTCCAAAATAACAAAAGAGGTTTTTGAAAATAGGAAGAGGACTTAAAAAGGTTTTACTTTAGTTATTCAGGATGAGTGTAATAGACTAGCTTTAAATCTTAAAATCAATTCTATTTTTATAATATGTCATCATTAACCCTCCTCCTGTGTTAGGGTCTGCACTGACCCTTTTTGTTTTTAAATGCTTAAAAGAACCACTTAAATTAGCTTTTTTGCATCAAGACTTTATGACTTTGCCAGGAACCTCTATTTCAATAAAATAAGAATAAAAATTTAAATTGACTAAATTATAAAATGCTCTTATTAAAATTATGGCACTTGTTGTGTTAGGGTCGCTGTTGACCCGGTTAGATCAATATCTAATAATTAGAGCAAAAACTGAAATCATAAGTTCACGGTCAGGCACCACACTGACAGTCAGATCCTCTTCCAATCATGTGAGATTTAGGAAATTCTCATTTTTCCATGTTTTTTCCTCCACAAAAAACAACGTCGGGCATGTCCAGACATACGAGATCAATTCAGTATGTCTGTATGAGGGGTATACTGATAAAGAAAGGCCCAGAGGACCACAACAAAAACTATTATAAGCAATATTTTCATGGATAATGAAGCCTAACAAGGTAACCTAGAGATGAGAACCAACTTGGATGATAGAGAAATGTTTTAGTGTAATTTACAGCTGATTTAAGACACGGGGTCAAAACCGACCCTTAACATGGTGGGTGCGCAGTAAAAGCTAACACAGGAGGAAGGTTAAAGCTCCTGTGTGGAATTAATGGTTTGTGTCAGCTCTGGTGCCTCTGATGAACAAAGCGATGATTTGCTGATACTGTTAGGTGATTTGATCAATAAAAGGACATCAGTCTTAATGCCAGTCTGTTCCCAAACTAGAGAAAACCCCTCACAGAAGCTTTAAGTAATACTTTCTTTCTGGATTATGCCTTAAATTGGATTATTATCCGACAATCACAGACTTTGTCACTCCCTATAAAAGTGTGTTCAGTTTCACAGTCTACTGCAACCAAATCACTGTGTTTCACTCATACTGACAGCGAAAGAAGAGCACTGCACCCTTGATCAATGGTACCATGAATTCTTGATGCGTTTCAACACCATGTGCTTTCAAAAGTACAATCTGCAGAAGGCAGTATTGAAAATTACTAAACCTTGTGAAAATGACAGAGCAACAGCCTCATTTTCAACCCAAAGCAGCTGTGAATGACAGAGAGAGAGAAAGAGGGAGCAGTAGTGAATAAGTAGCGAGGAGACAAAGAGAGTGAGCAAATGAAAACAAAGGAGTGAAACAGAAAGTAAGAAGTTAGTTATTAGGATGGCAAATATTTTTTTGAACCTTCTGTGTGATGCTAAATTATGTGTGCATGATATTACATTCTGTTGCTGCAATGAAACAATATTTTTTATTATTTTTAGTTTTAAATCCAAGTTCAAATCTCTAGTATTGAGACATCCCGACTCTGTTGCTACATGTTCATGTGTTTATGTGCATAAAATAACAAGTTCTGCTCACGCTCTGAAGAGTTAAAATCAAAATCAATTTACTTACCCGGATAATTAAATTTACTCTGCTTCTAAACAGTGGCTGGACCTCAAGTTGTTTCATCAGAGTCCAATCTAAACTCGTTTTGAGTGAGGAGATTTCATTATTTTTTGGCAGCAAAGAAGAATTCATTATTTATATTTTGGCTCAGAAAGCCAGAAAAAAAATCAGAATTGATAATGATTGATCATCACTGTGAGAAATTAGCAGGGGTTGGCTGTACACTTTTGATGAGAGATAAACACACACTGTGGGGAACAGTAACACTTCAGTCCATTCCAAGTAAATTAAGACCAAATTGCTCCTGCTCTGACTAAAAACACACCAATTTGGTGGCATTTAATCGGACAGAGAAGACCTGAGACCTTTCAGACGAATGGGATTTTAAAGACAAAGTTTAATTAGGCTTTTGTGGAGATAATAGTTGTTGTGCATCAATCTTTGTAGGAGTCCAAAGCTGTTGAACAAGAAGGTGTCGAACAAGAAGCTCCCAGTGAGACCCAGGAATCCGCAGAGACACAGCAGGAGACCATCCAGACATCAGACACACCAGAGCTCACATCCACTCCAGAAGTCCAGGAAAACACTCCCACTGAACCTGCTGAGCAACCTGTTCTTGAAGTGAAAACGGAACCCTCCGAGTCTGTAACACCCACAACAACGACCTGCGTCACTACAACATCCCACCCTGAGGTAGCACAGCAGCCCGGGGAGCCACAGCTGGTGAACTCGGACAGGCAGAGCAGAGTTTACACCCTCCCTGACAGCTACAGAGGCATCAGTGGTGACTTATGTGCCGGGTATGGGAGCCTGTCACGCAACACCCTCCACGGCTACTGGCCCACCAAGAACTACCAGCCTGGGGCTCACTACACCTTACCCTTCCTCAGAGACAGCTACGCTCCTGCAGGACTCAGCAGCCAATCAGAGGAGGATGTAATTGGCGACCGGGGAGAAAACCCACTGGATATGAAGACTGACCACCCACCAGCTGCCAGTTACCCAACACTTGGCGGGATCCACCAGTTCAGACCAATTACAACTATGGAGCTCCTCAGGGAGCCCTCAAGAACCAGGTAAGAGGATGCTGCATTGGATCAAGCTTTATTTATAGAGCAAGAGAGACTCTGTAAATGGATTTCAAGTACACTTGTGGTTTCTATATGATGCCCGGATGTTGGGTCAAATACATATCAGCTCCTTATAGACTTCTAAAGGGCCGAGGCAAAGTAAACTGTAGATATTTATGTGCTTTGGAATATACTCTCTTAGGTACACTCAGGCAGCGCTAACCTTGTCCTTTGAAGTACTTTTGGGATGTGGTGTGTTTATTTGAAATCAATCTGTTCTGTCCCATTAAAGTTTTAGTCTGGTTTGAAAGCAGACAAGGAAGGTAGAGGGTACTCAGTCTTTGTCACTGGAACATCAATATGGTCCTCGATAATGAGCTCACCTTTAGCAAAGCTTCGTAGAGAGACTCCAGAAAGCCAATACACCTTTGATTTTAATAGCAAGAGTAAGATAGTTCAGTTTTTATGAAATGGGAATAGGAGGATATGGTGTCGAAAACAATATTTGGAGGGTAGAAATGACCAAATGCTGAAAAACCAAGTTCATTAAACTCCAAAGGTCACCAGATTTTTTATCCTGGGAATATTTGAGTAAACTGTATGATTAAACCTTGTCACCCTGGCTAATCAGCACTGGAATTACTGATTGTCTTAACTAATTATCATTACTTTTACTATTGCAGACCCAAAATGCTGGTCATATGTTGTGTTTCAGCCTATCACTATCTTGGCCTGTACGTCCAGTTAATGGCTACAACTGTAGTGCTATTGCGGTGCCCTACTACCTGGGTTTAAACAAGCACAGATGACAAATAGACTTTCATAGTACGGTGTAGTTTGGCAGTATTTTGATATATAAATGGAGAGAAAGTTTTATGTAGGCTGTGTCTGGTTAAACAGGTTTAGAAACTGAGTGTTTTCTAAGTTTGGGTTGAGATGGTTGGACAGACTAGGAGATAAGTCCTTTAAGAATATTCCTGATCAGTGCATTTTGTTTCAACATTTCTTCTGCACACTCTATAAAGTTTAAATACAGCCAAAGGATGTGTAGTTTATGGAAAACAAAAATGCTAAACCTTATTTTGTTTTCATGTCTGGCCCTGAATTTGATTAATCATTTGACTTCGAATGCAATCATGGAAGCAAGCCAGGCCCAAAAGAAAGTTCTATAGAAGTAAAAATATTTAGTTACAAAATGATGCAACCATTAAATTACTTCCAAACTAATTTTATTACAAAAGACATGCAGCAATGGTGATATTTATTAGAGTGGGTAGCCATCAAACTACAAAGTAGCCTCCATTCTGTTACCAGAGATCAGCCCGGACAATAGAAAGACAGATGGACAGCAGTTAAGCAGCAGCTGGTATCAATCAGGAAAGGCGGCCTGCTGCAAAGTCAATAAATAAGGAGGTTTCACCTGTTATTGCCTGCCAGGAGCTTTTCCTTTGCCCATATAAAGTGACAGAGCTGTTTAGAAAAGCTACAAGCTACACACTTATGCTGTTAAACTCAGTGAAGCTCAGTCTTTAGGCTCACAAAAGCCTTTTAACCCACCTTACTCAACCTGTGGAACTTAAAATGAATACTTTGAAAAATTGGGAAATACTATCACCCAATTCTGTGTTCATCTTAAGCTTAGAAAATCAATACCCATTTATCTTTTAAATGTGAGAATACAGCAAAAAAATTGAAAGCACTAGGATTGTAAGAATCAGGGGACATGTGGGAGATAGCCAGGTTAGCATCAGGGTTTGAGGTATGGAGAGATGGCTTTGGGCGGGTTTGCTTGGCATTGATGCAGGAGGTGAAACAGCTATAAGCCACTGACCGAGTGTTTAGGTTTGAAGTAAAAGGAAACCAGGTCATCAAAGGAAAGAAAGCAGCTAGGAGACATAAAACAAAAATTCAAGAATTTAAGGAAATGGACAGATTTCCTGGCTCTTTCTAAAAGATTCAAAACCTGCCTTGAAACTTTTTGTCTGTGTCACTATTTATAATTGTCCAGTGAGTGATTCATTTGTCTTTTAATTTAGCAAAGAAGCCCAGGTGTTAGCTCCAACCCAGCAGCTCTGGAGTTTTGTTAAACACATTTTTCAATCCATTGTTCTGTAGTATTGTGTATTTGTTCAGACACTGTGGCACAGGTGGTCTGCCAGGTTGATCTATTATGGGCTAGAAGTTCAACAGAGATGGGTTTCATGTTGCATTGTTTCAGGGGTTTAACTGAAGTTATATTGATGCTGTCTATGTCCACCAGCAGCCCATTTTGCAAAGCTTAATTGTCCATGGAGACTTGTGGGAGTAGTATCCTCAAGCAGATAGTATGCATTATTTAGTATGGATGATTTTCTATCACTGCCTCCGCAATGCTTATGGCATTGGTCACTGAAACTGTGTTGGTGTTGAGAATGTGATCTTTATATTATACTTGCTGCGGAACCTTGGAGGGGATCATATGTGGAAGGAGTGTCTGATTTCTGCCTCATCAAGCCCTACGTAAAGAGAGAAAATCAATGTATTTCCTAAAGCACTGATTAAGATGATGTTCTCTTCCTTCTCAGGGGTGGCTACGATGATGCCTTCATGGCCCAGCTGGAAGGGAACCTGAACCCTTTCTTTCAAGCCATGTGTCGTGCTCAGACCTTGCAGTTCCCTCACAAACGCAGCAGCATGGTCAGCCTGGACAGTATCCGAAGAGACCCACGCTGGAGAGATCCCAACCTGCATGAGGTGATCTCGATGCTCACCCACCCAATGGACCCAGTCAAGTCCAATGCTGCCGCCTATTTGCAGCACCTGTGCTATGAGAATGACCGCATCAAGCAGGAGGTGCGCCAACTGAACGGCGTGCCAATCTTGGTGGAATTACTTGACCACCCTAAAGCAGAGGTCCACCGCAAGGCCTGTGGAGCTCTGCGTAATATATCCTACGGCAAAGACCACAATAACAAAATGGCCATCAAGAACTGTGATGGCATCCAAGCTTTAGTCAGGCTACTGAGGAAGACAAGCAGCGTGGAAGTCAAGGAATTAGTCTCAGGTATGGCATGATTCAGGACTTGTAATATGCTACCCTTTATTTCACCTCTACAGGCTGTGTTCTCTTTACCTTGCAGGCACACTGTGGAACCTCTCCTCACACGAGCCTCTGAAGATGGTGGTCATCAACAACGGGCTTCAAACCCTGACCGATGAGATCATCATCCCACACTCGGGATGGAGAAGAGACTCGACTGACCCTTCCAAATTGCTGAGTGCTGAGTGGACCACAGTCTTCAAGAACACGTCTGGATGTCTCAGGTAACCAAATGAAAAGAGCTACTGAAAGCTTTCTTGTAATGGAATGAGTTCTCGCAGCTTTGATATTAAGTTGTCTCTGCAGGAACGTCAGCTCGGACGGAGCAGAGGCTCGGCAAAGGTTGAGGGACTGTGAGGGGCTTGTGGATGCGCTTCTTCATGCTCTTCAGTCAGCAGTCATCAACAAAGACACTGACAATAAGGTCAGTGAATTCATCACACGATATCTGCCAAGTTTGTCGAATCTTTTTGTAAAGGTATCTTTAAACTACAAAAAAAACCTCTTTATTTGTGTAACTGTTTCAGCTGGTACCAATCTTAGTAGGAAAACAAGCGCAAGAGTGTCTTTAAGACTTTTAGTCATTCTAGACATTTTAATGCCACACTGTGAATTTGAGTGCTTTTTTACAAGTGGTACCAATCAGTGGTGATGCATTAGGACTCACATTTGACAGAAAATATGAATGCAGAAGAATTTAAACTCCATCGCTTTAAAAATCTGTGACTGAAATCTCTGTCGTTGTTCTAGTCGGTGGAAAACTGTGTCTGCATCCTGCGAAACCTGTCCTATCACGTTCACAAAGAAATCCCAGGAACAGAACGGTTTCAAGAGCCTCATTCCCATCACCTAATGAAGTCAGTGGGGCACCAGAAGAAGAAGAATGATTCAGACTGTTTTGGTGGGAAAAGACCCAAAGGTTAGTTGGTCATCATGCTTGAAGACTTCACAGTAATCGTTATTGCTTGTAGTTTTTCCTGCTGATTTGCCTTTTGGCAAATGTTGTAAACAGTTGTAGATGTCTGAAATCATTTTCTCTGTTTGAAATTTTCATGTAATTTCAGGGTGTCCTGTCTTCAAGCAATAGTTTCACATTTCTTGGCCCTTTTCTGTGGCATAAGCCTGAATATTTCATAACTGTACACATCCAGGAGCTGAAAATTAATTGTGCTTGGCAGAAGAGTGCTAGACTCACTTGTATTTTGTTACATTGGTTTCATGATTTTTATGATATTAAACTGATGTAACAAGAAAGAGGAGTCTAACACTGTGAAATATTTGGTTGACATGTGTAACTCATGCAGCTGCTGTGTTCATTACAGACTTAATCTTGACTCAGTGTGTGATCTTTCTTTTCTCTTCCCTCCAAACTGTGCTCATCAGAGGAGTGGTTTAATCAAGGTCAGTCTGCTGGTTGCTTTTCTTTTCAGCAGTTTTATCGTGACTTGATTCATTGTTGAATTTGCTGACATTTTGTGCCTGTGTACTGAATACTGGTGTTTGTGTTTGTTTGTGTGCATGTTTGTATTTATGATGTACAGGTTGGAAAAATGGATTTATGGACAGAAAGTACGGTACATTGGATTTACCAAAACGTACTGAGCAAACTAAAGGTACACTTAAAAAAATAATATCCACTTCAAAAAAGATATTTAACGGTTAAATGAAGAGGGACTGTAAGTCGCATTTGAACACAAGTAGCTGGGACACATTAATCATTTTACAGGGTAGATGAATCATGAAGAGTATTCATCATTTATCAAGATTAAAGTCCAGCATCAGTGGCTGCTTTCTGTTATTTGCTTTGTATGCATGACGTTGGCATGGCCTGAAAAAGAAATCATTGAAATTCAAAGCCACACATCAGCACCTGCACTACTTGAGGAGAGTTTCATTACTAAAACAAAATGACCCACCAACAGAAATACTGATAACATTTTTATCAGGCAAAATCCAGAGGAGGAAAATTTTCTCTGGCAGGCACTGGAAATTGCTCGAGATAGAGCAGAAGCCATGGTCACTTCTATATTTTTTTCATTTTGTCCTGTTAAAGTTTGTACTTTTTCTGCAGTCTTATACCTTTTCTATAATGGTGGATTCACTCTTTTAATAGAAAAATATGTCATATTAGTACAGTAGGGCTTAATGTGTGTATGGATGCGGCTGTTGTTGAATTGTAGATCAGATTTAAGCTTGAGCCTCCCACACTCCAGCCGGTGAATGCAAATCAGAGTGACAAGCATGTTACGGTCCAGGGTCAGCTTTATACTACTCACAGCTATCCAGCAGCCTTCACTGGCTCAGTGCAAAAAAGCTCTGCAGGATTCTGACAGGCTTGTAATATTCAGGCATAGATTTTTGTTTGGGTATATTTCAGTATCCTACCTACTGACCTTAACTTATCTTAATTAAAAAAACGTTGAGCAAAGTTAACATATTAGCATTCACACAGGACAAAGCTTTCTTTTATGCTCTTCGCCTTTTATCACTGCCTCGGTTTCATCACCGACTTCCTCTCCCTTTCTATTTCAGGCTTAGAGCTGCTCTACCAGCCAGAAGTGGTGAGGCTCTACCTGTCTCTTTTAACCTGCAGTCACAACCACAACACCTTGGAAGCAGCTGCAGGAGCCCTGCAGAATCTTGCTGCAGGACAGTGGGCTGTGAGTGGATTATCAGTTACCTCCTTTAGCCTTTACTTTTTATGGATATACAAAATGATCTTTTAACCAAGGCACACTTTGTTGGCATACACCAGCTATTTGTTTTCTTTGACACTTAGACAGGCACCCAAAATGAACTGTATTAATGTAGGGTTGCCATGGTAGCTATAATCATGTCCTTGTCTCCTCATACAACACTCAAGGAGCAGATCATTTGTCTACAGATGCAATGATTGTTAGCTCTCTGCTGTTTGGTTCAAAGCAACTGGAAACCCGAAGTCACATCATTTTCAACAACAACAACATAGAAAGCAGCTAAAAGGATTTGAAATCTTTTTAAAAGCTCATGTGAGGAGCCTTTTGCAATGATGAAACAGGCCTAGATTTATATTGATGCTTTTTTTTTGATATCCTAAAGAAAACAAGACCATCTGCAACATGATAGAGGATTTTTCATACCCTAAATTTTTATGCTTAACACCAGCGCGAGAGGGTAGGTATGGATAAATGATACATTTAACTGTTACAAGTTAGCAGGATTAGTGTTTTTCAGTCAGAAGACACTTTCACGCATGAAAAGGGTAAAATTTACATAAATCAAAGTTCCTCACAGGAGCTTTAAACTCAAGTTTGAAACAAAAGAAGTTGATGGAGTGGGCTGCTCATGCACCACTCTCTAGTGTGCAACACACATTTGTTGGAAACCAATCACAGAAATAGTCATATGGCAGCTATCTGGCTATTTATACTCAACATTTGCATTGTCCAGACTCCAGAGGTGGTTATCAGCAAACATTGCTGTTGTGAGCATAGCTGAATTTTGAGTAGGAGAGTGCGGTGTTGGTTATTCATGATCTGTTTCCATCTGCAGGTGCTGCGCATCAGGGAAAAGAGTTTAGCTCTATAATAAATAAATAAAAAAGTGCTGGATAATGGTGGAAAGAAAACATTCGGCTTTGCGTTGATTACTTTGGAAATGAAAATGAATGTTACCAGTGTTACCTGTGTGTGCTTATTGTTTTATTACAGAGTAATTTTGGGAAACTAGACAGTTTTGCTTGAGCTCCAGCTACTGTGCTGTTTACTATTTCAAGAGGTGTTAAAGAATACTCTACATGCTATCCTGCCAAAGGAGAAAAGGTGCATTGGTTCAGTACAAGGTCAGGTTTACCCTTTACGTCTCGCTGCAGAGCTCAAAATTAGGCCCTCCCCATGCTTTACACGGGGGCCGTATGCCTAATTATGTTTTCCTATCTGGTTTTGTTGCTTTGCTGAGACTGCACCAATGGACAGAGTGTGCAAAGCAAGATAGATTTGGCATTGATCATCTTAATCCAGCTGGACTGTCTAGATTGGTTTTGTCACCACTGTGCATGATCAAAAATCACTTTTACTGCTATGTTCCCACAGGCCTGTCAAATTATGTGCTTTGCCAAGATATACTGGCCATGAATGTCTGTTTAATTTAAGATCAATGCCAAGGCTGGGCCCAGATTAAAAGAGTTTAACAGTCCTTTGATTCTTGAAATCAAGTTGCATCATACATAGGGGGGCAGTTAAAGGAGCAGAATTTGAATCTCACACATGGTACAGTTGGCTCTTTATTTTTCACATAGTTAAGGTTTTATAAGTGGTTTTATGAGTTGGATATATGCAGAGAAATATCACTTTATCATATATTGTGTTTATCTTGTAGTGGTCAAGCTACATCCGAGCCACTGTGAGAAAAGAGAAAGGTCTGCCTATCCTGGTGGAGCTGCTACGCTCAGATGTGGACAAAGTTGTTCGAGCTGTGGCTATTGCTCTACGCAACCTGGCAATGGACAGACGGAATAAAGACCTAATAGGTGCAGACTTATAACTCTCATTTATAGGGGCTCAACGCCTGCACACTCACTTCAAACTGTATTTTAAGTTGTCTGTCTGTTATTATAGGAAGCTATGCCTTGAGGGACCTTGTTGGTAATCTGCCATGCGGGCAGCAGCATCCAGCAAAGAATCTTGAAGGAGATACTGTGGTGTCTATTCTGAACACCATCCATGAGATCATCACAGATAGCCCAGAGAACGCCCGAGCGATTATCCAGGGTCATGCAGTGCAGAAACTGGTGGCCATCAACAAGTCAAGGTCCTTCATGGCTTTTAACTAACCTTTAAACCTAAATATCTGGATATAAACAATAGCATATTAGTAACACAGCTTACTGCTCTGTTAATGTGTTTTTTACTGCAGCTGCTCAGTGCTTGTTTGGATCCCTAACACAGCCTTGAAGTGAAAGCTCTTGATATTATAAATGCCATACCCAAGGGCAATCAGAAATTGATTTTAATCATCAGGACAGCATTGTCTCCAAGCTCTACTCCATTGTTAACAACAATGTCTTATGATTTGTTGTCAGCCAATCAGCACGGGAGATCAAGGCAGCTTCCCATGTGCTCCAAACAATCTGGGCCTACAAGGATCTGAGAAACACTCTGAACAAGGCAGGCTGGACCAAGAGCCACTTCAAGGTATTGCAGTGTACTATGATCTTGTACATCATTAATTTGGTGAGGCATGACTTTGTAAACCCTGCTTAATGTGGTTCGAGGCAAAATTAATAGGAAATAAGGATTTCCGGTATGTTTTAACAAAAAGTAGGCAAAAGGGAATTTGTTCTTGTTTGAATCAAGAAATCTGTGTGTTATATTCTGAGATACATAAGCACAGAAACACAGGATGCCCTGTTTGTGAAGTGTAAAAGGGGACAAAAAAGTCCAGCTGGTAGAATCATGTGCCCTCTATACACAAGGGAGATCTAAGGTGTGCTAATTTCCAAGACCGACTTCTTTTTGAAATCCAGTATGATGTCCTATGCATTATTTTGGACAGTTAATAAATTAGACTTTAAGGAAAGCTTAAATTTCTAGTCGTCATCCAGTAACAATATTATTTTTGTCTTTCTAAGCCAACAACTACAGGAGTGACTAAAAAATCCAAGAGTGGGAAGCAGGGCAGTGATGACATCACCTTGCCGCTCATGGACAAAAATCAAGGTCAGCAAATCACTGCACGCATTCCTCCTGTCAGCAAAATGTTATTAAACCATCATCCCAATGAGACGAGTGTCCTCTAGCTCTGAGAACAAAAACTGCTTTTAAACAGACCAGGCTTCTTGTCATGTCAGAGATGGAGAGATGGGCATTTTTAAACCCCAGACCATATTCTTCAGAACATAGCCTCAAACCAATGATGTGCTGCCAAGGTTATCAGTGCACAGACTTGGCTTATTAGCCCAGACTGTGTTTTCCCAAAGGCAGGGCTGGCTCATGCATCACCAGTCACATTTCATTTTAACGCTACTCCAAAGGGCACTGACTTCTCCACGTCAACAGCGACCTCTGGCTTTCCTCTAAACAGCCAACTACTCTCAAGGCTTCCTTGTGAATTATGAACGAAGCTTAAACACCCTTTGAAAAATGAATTCAGGGATACGGGTATAAACTCCTGCCAATGAATTATTGAAAGCTTTTGGAAAACTCATTTGACTTTAAGGGGCAAATGGTCCATGCCCTGTCTGTGCATCAGGTTAGATCTGCAGTACATACTCTCAAAACAAGTGCCCCATAAAGATGTTTTAGGTTCCCCCCGAAAAGTTAAATGTATAACCACAAAACTAAATACATCATTATGTTCATGCTTATATACAATGCTACATACTAGTTTCTGACTCTGTCTTGGTTAGTCATTATTACTACATTGTTTCTCATTTTAAATCAGTAAGATTAGGCCACCAATACCCTCATCTTTGTAAATCCCAGATAAAAATATGTAGCTAAGATACCATAGAGTATAGTCTGCTAATGACTATAATTAATGTGAGCTAGCTAGCACCGTTCTTAGTCATGCCTCTTAAATAGGAAGAAAAAATCACAAATGAAAACCAAATGAGGGCATAAATGTGGAGCTGTTTCTCTATTAATACGTGAATGATATACAGCCTGTTCACCAATCTTCTTTATTTTAAATAAACATAACTTGACGTTTTCAGACAATGTTAGCTACTTTTTTGGCTTGCAAGAGTTAATTAAGCCTCATAGCAGGTTTTAACTGGTGACCATTTACAGCAGATTTATTTCATTTGAATAATTCATTTTACTTAAAGTGGGACTTTTATGCTTACTTTGGCTTTATGTTGTCTCTCTGAGGTTCTTAGCAACTTTACATAAGATACAATTCAAGAAATTTGTAAAATATTTCAAGCTGTTGTGTTTGAAAACCCTATTATTAATGTTTGTCTGGGATGCTTCATTAAAGGCACTGTCCCTTTAAATTCCCCTCTGTATCCCAGAGCCCAGCATTCTAGAAGCTTCCTTCACTGTTGTCACGCAACAAAGTTGTGTTTCTTTTTAATAAAATTACAAATTTGCCCTTTGAAGGAGATTCATCGTCTGATGATGTCACAAATTGATTAAATGTCATATTGATCTTGTTGAATTGTTGTCTGACTTTTTGAACAAACCATTCAGAGCACCCTGTAGTCCCATCTGGGAATTACTTTAACGCACATTAACCTTGAAAATGGAAACTTGGAAATGTATAGCACTGACGGCCAACATTTTAACTTAAAATTAGTTTTCAAAATATTTTAAAAAAGCATAACACCAAATCTTTAATATCTATTGAGAGTGTCGGCCTGTAGTTTTGTCGCTGAATTATTGAACTCACCATTTCAAAAGAAGACTAGTTATTGTAGATGACTGTTCAGCATAATCCCCCCCAATAAAACCATTTACGTACATGCTTTTGTCTCCTGTCTTTTTCTAAAATGTTTACTGCTTTTACAGTATGTTTATCCTTTATCATCTGTCCTTGCAGATGTTTACTCCAGCTTGGAGCCAAATGATAGAGTTGGCGATGGAAAAGCACCTGTTGTGGAAAGAGACGCACTCCAGGTAATCTACTACTTGACTGTACTAGATGACATGACAACACATTGAATGATATTATAATTAGAAACTCAGTGAACCTGATTTTATTTCTTATTTCTGTATGAAAATGAAGCAAGTAGTGAGACAGTTTTGTTTACTTTCTTACAATTTGTTTTTATAGAGCTATGTTGGTGTTTGTTTGAATGCAAGATTGCTAACGCTGGTTGTTTGCATGTTTCCCAACCTAGGCGATAAGTGAGAGAAAACACTTCATCAGAGCTGGCAGGCCTGCAGTTGGCCTCATGGATAACAAACCTCCACCACTGGACTCCTGGGTGTAAACACGACAACACAGCAAGTCGAGCCTGTTTAATCCTGTAAAGACTCTTTCCATTGGTGAAATACACATTTGTGCCATTTGATCATTCTTGTACAGACAGAGAAAGTTAACCAATTTCAACAATTTTCTTTATTTGCAGGAAAGAATGTGCCAAACATATACATGTATTTATTATGAAGGCTATTTGGAAATAGATTTTATGGATTTTGTCATTTAGGATGTTGTACAGTCTATCTGAAGGTCATGATGGATTGTGTGCAACATTTGAAATAGCCTAAATATGCAAACTGTGGTAAATCATGACTCCAAAGAATAAATTATATGTAAAGATTAAAATTGTACTGGTAGGTATGAGATAATGTATAACACTTCTAGTTTGTCAAATGATTAAGGTCAGTATGATATGTGACACCTGTGTCTCCGAGGGGAGATGATAATGTGAAATAATTTTCATATCATCAGGAAATAATGTTGGTCGGGGGAGGGGGTGTTTATTAAATTAACCATTTGGGAATCAAATAACTCTTGACAAATCTGCCATCAGATTGGACTGTGCAGCCATTAGCTAAACCTCTCTATTCCATTTGTTTCAGGAAAGGCAAAATGGAGTTGTAAATGTGTAACAAAGGACTGTTAATAATCTAAATGAAGGTATTTATATTGTAATATTTATTGTAATACCCATGTTATTAATTCAAGGTTATGGATGTGTATTAGCTAATACCAGTAAGTGATCCTACATTAAATACAACTCTGCTTTGCAGTGGTCCTTTTTGCATTGCGATGTTGAATGACAAATGAAAATAAACCATGTGCATATTTCTCATTTTCATTTGTGCTCTCTCTTTGTGTGACAGGCTGAATTTAGTGTCCACCTCTATTCTATCATTGGTTTCTGTTACATTATGTATTTAACTTGGTTGAACAAAACATTTAAAGACAAATACTATTTGGTGTTGATATTATAATTTTTTTCATGTCCTGTTCAAACTGAAAATATTCAGTGCTTGTGTTATGTCATGTGTTCACAACCGGGGCTTCTTTCCACTACACTACACAGGGTACAAAATGATAAATGTCCCCAGTGGACTTGAACTTTAAAGTGGCTTAATCACAGATACAAACACAACTACAACGCTGGGTCATGTTAGGCTGAATGCCAGTTAGCATTTGTCAGCTGTGATACAAGTCTTACAATGACAAGTGATACGTACATTTTTTTAACCATTTTCCTGACAAATCCCCGAAGACATCTAGTCCACAAAATAACAACAACAACAAAAAACTAAACAGTAAAGCTAAACAAAAACAGTCGAGAAAACAGACTAAGCCCTCAGCAGACAGCAGTTTAAACTCACAACATCAAACGGCACCCTTTTTCTGTATCCACAAATGATGAAACACTGAGTCCATAGTTTATAGAAAGAAATTTGATGGTTTGCAAATCATTGAAAACCTATTTGTGTTTAAAAAGGAACACAGACAATATGCTTTTTTTTATGAAACAGGCTGAACAATTGAACTGGACAATTGATAGGATACTTACATTTTGTACTTATCTGATATGATATAACATTGACTGCATGGTTTTAATACGTGTTTCTTGAATTCATAGTCTGCATCAGGCTATGAATTCTCACAAGGGATGTCACAGCACCACCAGTCATATTATAGTGAAAACAAGGGTTTTCTTGTCAATAGAGGGTAAGCATCCTGCCTGAAATGACGAGATACCTCGTCAATAGCGGGGAAAGAGTTGACACTGACAGAAAGTTTCTCACAGGAGCTTTAAAGCTCGCAACAAGTTTAAAAAAAGTGTCCATTTTTAATGCAGTGCCATTCGAGTGCACTAAGTTTAACACCACCTAGTATTGGTTTTTTGGTCTCCTCTCTTTTGCACAGGTTTCACCAGACTCTCTGAATATTTAATGTCACCGTGCACTGGAAATGATAAATACTCCACATTCTTTGCCATTTTACATCTATGAGTATTACACCGAAATTATTGAACTATTTGCTCATGCAGTCTCTCGCTGAATGATGAACCTCTCAATTTTCACTTCATAGAGACTCAGCCTCCCTGGAGTGCTCTTTTTATACATTCTCCTATTACCAATGTGTTTCTATTTAAACTCATTAGCTGGTAGATTGTTCCCCTGGGGGATCCAATAAAACAGTTCTGCCTTATTTGAACCACAGACTGTTTGAAATATAGATGCAGTCTCAGTGATGTTTCTGAAGAGTTGGTATAAAGCCATACAATGGTGCTCACCACATTTGAATGCTGACTCAACCTTACTGCACAGACAGAGGTGGAGTTGAGGCAGGCCTTTGGCTTCCTGGCAAAGAATTACACCCACCTGCCAGTAAACCTAGCTACATCTCCAAATATGTTAATTTATGCAAAATTTAATGCTCCTTCTTTTTAAAGCTGCTGAGTCGAAAAATTCACCCCTGTACAATGTGGAAAAATTGGCATTTGTATGTGGGGGCTTACCAGGTGTTTTAAAATCAGCTTCAAATGGACACTTAAGGAACTGCAGTTGTTTTGTGTTGTCACACTGGCTTTATTTTGTAACGCCAGAGATTGCGACTTGGGCTGGACTCTGATTTCCCCCCCTAAAAGTCATTAGTGTCATTGGTGATTCATGACAATTTAGATTTGTTCTGTACATTTCATCTACCCATCAGACTCCAATGACTACAAAATTATAAACTTGCGTGTCACACACAGGCACTAAGAGGACTGAAATGTGTTGGCAGTGGTCCTGTTTTCTACTGCAGGCTGCAGAGCCCTCTCAAGTGGTTATGTTTAACACAAAGGCATGAGCTGTGTGTTTATATAGTTTATACATTATCATTTATTTTTAGAATGACCATTATTCAGAAAATATTCACAGGCATGTCTCATGTTTATTATTTGAAAGGCTTTTTATATCTTTTTTTTTCCAATTATTTTCCTTTCCCTTTAGTTTTAGTGAGTGTTTGTTTACATGATGGAGATGGTTGCACATGTGAGTCATCAAACTGGAAATTAGAAAACAAAGGCAGTAATTAGCTAAATGCAAATGAAGTCAAATCATCCCCTCAGCACATAATGAATACACTTAATTCAATTCAAGATGAGAAGGCAGAACTAAGTTTAGGTCTACACTGGCCTCTTGTGGAGATTGTAACACATAAATTCACAGTATTGTGAGGTGATTTCATGCATGCAGGACATAAGTTTCACATTCATAATATTCCCTGTGTGCTTTTTTTCTGTATACTTGCATGAATTATAACAATTCTGTTTTATTTCAATCTAAATTTAGTATTATTTTTTGTAATATGGAGCAGCGAACAGTGGTTTGTATTAGCTGTCATTATAATCTGATGTTAGCGGTCGATCAATAAACAATAAATCAAGAAGACACAGAGTAACAGGAAACTATAAAGAGAGATAAGATCGATGCAGTGAGAGAAAGAGGAGGGCCAAGCAGGGCCTTAATGACATCTCCAAACATGTAAGCACAGCACATTGGACAGCACAGCCCTGCCCTCACAACCAGACCACAAGATCAACAAGGGCAAAGCCCCCAACGACAACCTGTTGTCCTTTGACCAAGGACAGTGCTCCCATGAAAGGTCCAAACAGTAAGCAAAGGATCCATCGCATCTTCTCATCAGATCCTTAAACTTTGGATATAACCCTTTCTTCCACTCAGCCATGACCTGCTCAGTCTTCTCCCACCTCGGGTTTGTTGGCTCTTTGAACGTCCTGCTTCTGATGTTGGCAAGTTTGAGCTTGAGCAGTCCCATCAGGTCTTTGAAGAACCATCACAAGGTATCAGCCAGGAGAGATGTGGTTGATAATCAACTGTTTGAAGCGCAAGATCTTCTGAGCCAGTTTCTGTCCACGATAAACCTAACAGAGCTGAGGCCCCCACCTGGGCCCCGTGCTGCCCTTAAGGAGCCACCAGACTACATGCTGGAGCTGTATAACCGCTTTGCACACGACCGCACTGCTGTGCCCTCAGCCAACATTGTGCGCAGCTTCAAGAATGAAGGTACAAATCAGTTTTCGTTCAATACTAAAAGAATGTAATATTTTGGATATTGTATGAGACTATAATAACTTAATGATTGCAATCTAAATAAGTCTCTTGAATTCTGGAGCAAACTGGAATATTTTAATTACAACAATTTAAGAGCACTTTTTGTGTACCCTTAAAAACATAAACAAAAAATCTCATCACTAAATGAGCATTTTAAATTTGTTCAGATAAGTTTTATTTTGAGCACTACAAACTTCATATATAATTCATCCTTTGATTTCAGATCCCTCTCCCTACAGAACAACATCCAGGGGTGTTAGGATATATCCCCTGCTTTTTAACATCTCCATGCATCACCATGAGCACATAATGTTGGCAGAGCTTCGACTTTACACCCTGATCCAGAGCACACAAAGACCGCATGCAGGCATTGACTGCAAGGTGGCCATCTACAAAATCAACGAGGACGCAGTTTGGACAAAAAAGGTGAGAAGAGAAGGTAGAGAGGAGGATAACCAGGAGGTGGAAATGGATGACTTGGAGGAACTGGTGACAAAGCATATTCATGCCAGAGATAACAGCTGGGTGTCATTTGACCTGACTCATGTGGTTACACTCTGGAGGAAGTCAGGGTGTGCAACTCACAGATTGGAAGTTCATGTAACAAGTTTGGGGTCAGAGGTTGCAGAGGAGAGTGAGAGCTTGGGTGAGGTTGACATCCCGAAGAGCTTGGAAGGGAAGCACAATGCAGTGATGATTGTATTCTCAGACGATCAACGCAGAGATCACAAACAGGATGAACAAGAGTTAAAGCAGATGATCGAACATGAAAATGACCTTCCTGAAAACCAGAGCCGGGGCCAACAAACTCTCTGGCACCCCGATCGTGCTGACCAGGATGAACAGGACAAACAGTCTCTCATTCAACTCCGGTCCAACCTTATCTATGACACACCTTCACGAATCCGTCGCAATGTTAAGAGCGAGCCGTGCAAGAGGACTCCACTCTTTGTGGATTTTAAAGACATCGGCTGGGATACATGGATCATCCAGCCTCTGGGCTATGAGGCGTATGAGTGCAATGGCGTGTGCAACCCGCCCATGACCTCCGAGGTCTCGCCCACTAAACATGCCATAGTGCAGACGCTGCTGAGTGTTAAGAGTCCGGAGAGAGCATCGCGTGCCTGCTGTGTACCCACTAAACTAGAGCCCATCTCACTCCTTTATCATGATAATGGAGTGATCACTTTCAACCACAAGTATGAGGGCATGGTGGTGGCAGAGTGTGGCTGTAGATAGTCCCTAAAGAGTTGCTATCACCATATTCACACATTGGCCATTTTCTAATTGTAAGGATGAATATAATCTGTTATAAAGTTGCTGTGTTTGCAATAGAAATGTGACAAATCTGTTTCCCTTAACCCAACCAAGTTGACCAGCAACTTGAGAAATCATACAGTGGCATGAAACCTTGAAGATTACTGGATGTTACAATGTTATATGTGGTTACCTTTTAGCTTTGGCCCAACAACAGCTGATGTGCTTGTTGCCAAGCTGAGATTGTCATTCATGACAGAAATAAAATAGTACTTGATCTTTCTTGATAATAACTAGAGAGGAAAAAAGCCAGCATATGAATACAGTGACCTTCACAAACTGTGAACTGATCAAACTGAAGAATCTATCTATCTATCTATCTATCTATCTATCTATCTATCTATCTATCTATCTATCTATCTATCTATCTATCTATCTATGATCTAATACAGCGGTGTGTAAAAACACAAGTCTAGGCTTAGCTGTAAATTAGATAAGCGCACAAAATTGTAAATCTGTGCTACCTGATGTAAATTTGTATAAAGGTGATTGTTATTTTGTTGAAATAGAATAAGCCTTTGAGGCTGCAAATATTTTTAATAGGATTACATACTTTAATTATTTGCCTTTTTGTACAATGTTTTTAGATAAGCTTCATAGTTCCTAACATTCACAATAACAGACATGATAGACATAATATAAAGGCTACAAGTATGGCATAACTTTGATTAGATAAAGCACAAAAATGAAAGACAAAATTACACACTAGCAAAAAAAAAGACAGTAAAGGGACGGCAAAAGGTAACGTTACCATGACAACCCGACATTTAATCTATAACGTTTCTAGAAACAAGGTATGGAGTTTTTGCTGTGGGTTAATTGAGAGCTGCTGCTAAAATAGAATGTATTTATAGGACATAGCTTTCCAAACATCATGCAATCTGAATATCTGAATCCATTGTTGCTGCCTTTTCAATGTGTATCCTACTCAAATAACTCTTTTGTTTCAGCAGATATTACTGTGGTGTTGTTTTACCACAGGCCAACAGATCACACTGATTTGCACTACTGATGCTTTATGTTTTTTAAATATGAAAAGTCTCTTAAATTCAGTTGTAATGAAATCCTAACTATATAAAACGGCTTTATAAGTTCCCATATGGGCCTCAGACTTTTTAACAGTATTCTGTTCAAGTGGCCTGGGGCATGCTGGAGGAGCTGAAATGATTTAAAGAATATGACATATTTTGCTTATTTGTTTGGCAAACTCACACAAAACAATTTTGATGGCATTTCACCAGAAGAGGATCTTCACAGTGTTTGAGCTCTTGAGGGCTGCTTCTCTGAAAACTGAACAGTTTCTTTCACCTATTATGGTCTTCACTGCTGTGGAATCTTTCATTGTAAGCCGACTATTCATATCCTGCTTTTGGTTCTCACAGCAACAATAATGTTATAATGGTTGTTAAAATAAAATATCCCAAAATTAGATACTAATTAAGCTAATTTTTGTGATCTCTTGTACACGTTATTTTGTTGTCAGCTGTCCCAAACTAACAACCTCTATCCCTTCAGTGTCACATGCCTGGCGGGCCTCTCTCTGCCCGCTTCCATACCTCAATGATAACAAGGTGACAAATTCTGGAGTCTTGTAAACTGTCACTCAGGATGAGACGCCACTCCAAGTGGGCAGCGTTTATGAGGAGGTGGTGTCAGATCCCTGGTCTCCAACACTAAAATACTCTACTGACAACCCTGCTGTTTGGTTGCTCGGTTGCCCTCTGAACCCTCCCACTTCCTTTTTCTGACATGAACAGAATGACGCTCTTATCAAGGCCACAGCAACAGAACAAATGGAAAGAAAACACGTCACATCATCACCTAGCTTTCGCTGTTAACAGTCGGATACAGATAACAAAGATGGAATAACACTGTGGAACTTTCGAGTTCAATAGGATCCCCTCTCTGCACATGGACCAAGTGTGCAGGACAAAGCTGGTAGAGATTAACTGATTTCTCAGTGTCGAACTTGCCATATATAAAAGCAGACACTTAATTGCTGTTATGTAGAAGTAATTCCTTAAAAATATTTTCTTTCAATACAATAATAAGTCATCATTTTATCTTGGGGCAGAAGTTATATTATAATAGTGAGGAAGGGTCCCTGACAGTTCCAAAAAGGAAAGAAAAGCCTGTTTTTATGACAGCAGTTTCACCCTCAATTATGACCACAAGAGGGAGACTTTATTTAAGCATAAACTCATGATACCACATTGAATACATTTTTGTCAACAAATGATATGCAATGCAAACATTATCTTGAGGAAAACATCTGTCAATGTGAGCATTAGATAAACTGGTATGCATCCAGGAAATAAAAAAATAGTATTATCACTAACTCTCTTATCTTAACTACCAGGTGACAGGAAGAGACTCATTTATAGATGTATTAAAAAGAGGATCTGTAAATGCCTTCAGATAGCAACATGGTGTCGCTTTTTGGTAGGATCCGGTATCACAGATTTATAGTAGACAATAAAGTAACTCTCATTTGACTCTTACCGTGATCTTTTTTGTACCTCTTTCTCCAATTACCTTCAAAATTATCATCATTGTTAAAGATAACACAATATTAGAAGTTTAACCTCTGCATACTTGCAAGACTTATTAATACAATTAAACTCTGTCAGGATGGCCATGTTTCATCCTATTTTCTAAAGAAGTAACCCTTTGAATATTGTACATGCACTACTGTTACATTTGTGGGTAGCTTACCTTTTAGGCATGGTTCCCAGAATACACTTAACAGCATTTAAGACCAGGAACCAAAACAAGAACTGCACGGTCATCTATAAGAAACCACAAGACTTGATTTAGATTTAGGGTGTCTTTCCAGAAGGGGAACAAACATGAGATACTGTAACAGCAGGAGCAGCAATATGGCTCCTTAACTTAAAGAATTAAGCTACCTTGTTTTTAGCCTGGTACAAACACTGAACACCTGGGCAAATTAAAGAGATATTCTGGTGTAAAATTAAGTAAGGGTCAAACACACCGTAACACTGGGTTAGACACCCTGTCGAGAGATGAAGGTTGCCGACCGCTTGCTTCTCTAGTTATACCAACTTAACGACCGCAAGATAGCAATACAGAGAGCCGCACAGTCAACCAAAAAGCCACGCTATAGCCACAATTATTTAAACAAACATTTATGATCATTATTTAACATTGAATGTTTTTCCTTGAGCTGCTTCACCCCACTGCAGTCGTTGGACTCTCCTGGAGGTCTCTGTACAAACAAGCAGCTGCTGGAAGAGAGTTGGTGAGTTCTGCTTAGTCTCTTTGCTGAAGAAATCAGACAAAGCTAAAAACATGTTTGGTGGCTAGTGCTGTGGCTAGGACCATATATGTACTGTTGAAGTTAGGTGCTGTTCTGAGCATTATTTGTGGCTATAGAGTGGCTTTTTGGTTGAGCGCGTGGCACTCTGTATTGCTATCGTGCGGTCGTTACTAAAGCTGGTGAAACTAGAGAAGCAAGCGGTCGCAAGCATTCATGAGGGGTGTCTAACTTGGTGTAACGGTGTGTTTGACCCTAACTTAATTTTACACCGGAATATCCCTTTAATGCAACCACATGCCAGCTCTACCCTATATTCTACTTTCATGATGCTTCCATGGTTTCAATTTTTGTTGACATGATCAAACAGGAGATAACTGTACTTTGTTATTGAGGATGAAGTGGTTGGTGATGGTGCGCTTGAGTGCATTAAATTTAAAGGTGTCCCCAACACTTTGTCCCTCTGATCTTTGGCGAAAAAGTGGACAAAATAAAAGGACATATTACACTATGATACACTCAAGTACAGCACAAGCACCTAGCTTCAGTGATACATTAAAAATAGAATAGAATAGAATAGAATATTCCTTTATTGATCCCCCATGGGGGAAATTTTTTTGTCACAGCAGCATCACAGACAAGACAGAAAGTGCAAAATGCAGTTTTAACAATAAGGGTCCTAATATTAAGAACTTAATAAATGTAATAATTAAGAAAAAAAATAATTGAAAAGAGAAAAGGGAGAAGAAAAAATAAAGCTTTCTGCAATATACACAATTTAAATGCCATAAAAAAAGTGGTGGTGTAAATCCAGTTTTGTTACTGTTCATTGTAAAGTCTTATTGCAGAGGGGAGGAATGATCTGCGGTAGCGCTCCGTCCTGCAGGGTGGGAGTCTCAGTCTGCTGCTGAAGGAGCTGCCTAAAGCCCCCACAGTCTGGTGCAGTGGGTGAGAGGGATTGTCCATGATGGATATAAGCTTTGTTAACATCCTCCTCTCACCCACCTCCTCCAGGGAGTCCAAAGAGCAGTCCAGGACAGAACCGGCCCTCCTGACCAGTCTATTCAGTCTCTTCCTGTCCCTCTCGGTGCTCCCTGCCCCCCAGCAGACCACTGCATAGAAAAGTGCAGATGCTACCACAGAGTCATAGAAAGTCCTGAGCAGAGTCCTGCACACTCCAAAGGACCTCAGTCTCCTCAGCAGGTGGAGACGACTTTGGCCCTTCTTGTACAGAACGTCTGTGTTTGTTGACCAGTCCAGTTTGTTGTTGAGGTGGACACCCAGGAATCTGTAGGACTCCACCATCTCGATGTCCAGACCCTGTATGTTCACTGGAACTGTTTGAGGTGTCCCCCTCCTGCGGAAATCCACAACCATCTCCTTTGTCTTACTGGCGTTGAGCTGGAGGTGGTTTGTGCCACACCAGTTGACAAAGTCAGTGATGACAGTCCTGTATTCCCGCTCGTCCCCTGACGATACACATCCGACGATGGCTGTATCATCAGAGAACTTTTGGAGGTGACAGCTCCCAGAGTTGTAGCTGAAGTCTGAGGTGTACAGGGTGAAGAGGAAGGGGGAGAGCACTGTCCCCTGTGGAGCCCCCGTGCTGCAGACCACCATGTCCGATACACAGTTCTGAAGCCTCACAAACTGTGGTCTGTCGGTGAGGTAGTCCACGGTCCATGCGGCTAGGTGACAGTCCACTCCCGCCCGCTCGAGCTTCCCCCTGAGCAGTGAAGGCTGGATGGTGTTGAACGCACTGGAGAAGTCAAAAAACATGACCCTCACAGTGCTGCCAGTGTTCTCCAGGTGAGCCATGGACCTCTGCAGCAGGTAGATGACTGCGTCATCCACCCCGATGTTCGGCTGGTACGCAAACTGCAGAGGATCCAGATGAGAGCTCACCAGGGGGCGGAGGTTCCTCAGCACGATCCTCTCCAGAGTCTTCATCAGGTGAGAAGTGAGGGCCACAGGTCTGAAGTGGTTGGGCTCCCTAGGGTGCGCTGTCTTGGGGACAGGAATCACGCAGGAAGTCTTCCACAGTGTTGGGACCCTCTCCAGACTCAGGCTCAAGCTGAAGATGTGCAGTAGCACCTCACAGAGCTGGTCTGCACAGTCTTTCAGGAGTCTGGGGCTGATGCCGTCAGGACCCGTGGCTTTCCTTGGCTTCATCTTCCTCAGCTCACTTCTCACCTGGTCAGCTGTTATGGAGAGGCTGGGGGTGGTGCTGGAGGGGGTGGTGGAGGATGAGTGGAGGGGGGTTGATGGTGTCGGTGCCATGGGACTGAGGTGGTGTGAATTAGAATAAGAAGAAGGAGGAGCAGCAGACGGGTCGTTGGTTAGATGAGTCGGGGGAGGAGTGGGAGTAGAGTCAAATCTATTGAAGAACAGATTCAGCTCGTTGGCCCACTCCCTGTCTCCTGCTTCAGATCCCCTCTCATGGCCCCTGCTATGACCTGAGATGGATTTTAGGCCTCTCCAGACCTCCCTTGCGTTGTTCTGTTGCAAAAGGTTTTCCATCTTGGTCTTGTAGCTGGCCTTTCCCTCTCTGATCTTCTTCTTCAACTCCTTCTGCACCCTCCTCAGCTCCTCCTTGTCCCCAGATTTAAAGACCCTCCTCTTCTCCTTCAGGAGGACTTTCAGTTCCGGGGTCACCCAGGGTTTGCTGTTGGAGAAACACCGTACTTTCCTGGTGGGTACGGTGTTCTCAACACAGAAGTTAATATAGTCCGTGATGCAGTCAGTCATGGTGTCGATGTCATCACCATGTGGGCCGCACAGTACATCCCAGTCTGTGGTCTCAAAACAGTCCTGCAGCGCCTCAGTGGCCTCCTCAGACCACCTCTTAACATACCTGATGGTGGGGGGTTGTTTCTTCACCATAGGTATGTAAATGGGCTGCAGTCTCACCAGGTTGTGATCTGAGCGGCCCAGCGGGGGAAGGGGGAGGAGGTGTATGCATCCTTGGTGTTTGCATACAGTAAGTCCAGAGTTTTATTGTCTCTTGTTGGGCAGTTTACATACTGGCTGAAGGTAGGGAGAGTGGAGGACAGCGATGCATGATTAAAGTCTCCAGAGATGATGATCAGAGACTGAGGGTGTGATGTCTGTAGCTTGGACACTTCATTATGGAGGAGTTCACAGGCTGCAGCAGCCTCAGCCGAGGGGGGGATGTAAACAGTTAACGCGATGACGTGCGAAAATTCCCTCGGCAGGTAATAAGGCCGCAAACTCACAGCCAGCAGCTCAATGTCCTTAGAGCAGAGCTGCTCTTTAACACTGACGTGCCCAGCATTACACCATCTCTCATTCACATACACCGCTATCCCGCCTCCTTTCTTCTTACCAGTCTCCCTCACGCTCCGGTCCGCTCTGACGAGGTGAAATCCGTCCAAAAAAAAAAAAAAAAAAGCACAATACTCACCTGTTTGATCATGCCAAAAAACTGAGCACTAGAATAAGTATTATTATTATTATTATTATTTTTTTTTTTACCAAAAAAACTGTGAAGTGTCAGGTATTTCATGGGTCAGATGCAGTGCTGCCATATCAGCACATTTGTTGCACTAAATAAAAGATACAGGGCAGAGATTGTGAGCAAATAATCTGGTTTATAATTAAGATGGTGTGAAAATTGTGTCGTTCAACAAAAGTTGTTTTTGCTTATTATTTTTTATTATTATTATTATTCTCAAACTACAGCACCACGCCTGTCAATCTCCACGCGTGCATGCTCAGACTGAACGCGGTTGTGGGTGGGGAGGATTTTTTGTTTATTTTCGGGGCAAGCTAGCCAGTAAACGTAGCTGTTAGCTCACAATATCCTTCGTTATATGTTTAGTTTTACACGTCGGAACCCCAAAAGGAGAGCCCATACGGCTGATTTGATGTTGAATCATTTTGTGAGGAAGCAGACAATCATAGAGAAAGGTGAGCAAGCTCGCGTCATGTTGTAAAGGTCTTTTAGCATTAGCTGTTAGCGTATGTGCTAGCTAGCAAAAAAAACAACATTAAGGTTAAAAGGCATACTAAATATACCCAAAAAGCCTCCCAATTATTATTTCTGTGGCCAGCGGCTCAACGTTGCAATTCGGCTAAATCACGGTGAGTTCTCAAATCAGTGCAATGATAAAAAAATCGTCTTCTCGTGATTAGCTATAGCTCAGCACAGCTAACGGTATTAATGCAATGCTAGCTAACGGACACATAGCAGCCCAATATTTGGTGCACCATAATTGCTAACTTAATGCCCCCAAACAGTAATACTGTGACTTAACATGTCGATTAATTTTAATAGATAGTAATTATAACCGAGCAGCGCGTTTAAGAGCAGGCTTAGATACTTACAACAGAGGCATTGTTAGTAGGGATACGCTAACTGACCTGTGTTTATTAGCTAGCTCCGATGCAGATGAAGGCTAACGATAGCCGTGAAAACACCCTGTTAAAACATAACCATACCCAGTTATTGTGTTCCTTTTGAAGGAATAGAACAACAACAAAACAGTAAATACAGTTTTTGGTATTACCATGATGGAAAGGGGTGCATTTCAGAGGAAAAACAATGTCAATATTCGTTAGATAACGCCGAGGGACGGTTTCCTCGATGACTGAACTGTAACACAGAGGTTGTCGATCTTTTATCAAGCAATAAGAGCAAAAGTTACCGTTATTGTTACTGTCCTTCTGCACAATATCACATTTTATGCAGTCCATAACTGGGAGATACCTAGAAAACCTATTACATCGTAACACACCGGGAGCCACAACATTGTCAACACCCGAGCAGTCAGTTGCAATGTAATATTGCAGCTCTTCCATCAGTTCTACCTTCAAGGTGTATAATGTTATGGCTGTTCGGAGTAGATGTGTTTTTAAAGTTTCACAAATAGGGGGGAGTGTGGTAAGTTTAGCCAAAAGTAAGTTGAGCCACCCTCTGTTGCTTGGAAATGGTAAAATAAATTGTTCATGTTACCAAATATTTAGGAGATGGGCATCAATTCATGGAGTCTGTGAAGGTTAGAAGCACATGGGTGAAGGGGTTAGACATTTATTTCCAAAAAAAAAAAAACATTTTTCACTCTTGAAAGTGAATTTAGTCTGTCCGAAGTTTTATTAGAATTGTGTTCAGACCTAAAAAGATCATTTTAAATTTGTTTTATACATCAATTGTGGTATCTATGAGCTACAACATGAGGTCAAAAACCTAGCATAAAAGTTCACCATTTTAGCTTAGAGGACTAATAAAGTCATAATAGTTGATGAGTTGAGCCAGTGGCTGAACTCAGAAAGTAAAGGAGTCTGATGAGAGGATCAGAGTTTCAGTTCAGATTGTTAAAATGTTTTACTTTTTCTTTTCAACAATACAGCTGTGAATGTTCTGAATCACTTAAAGGCATTTTCATGTTAAAATGGCTTTTTACAAAACAGCAGTTATATGCAATAATGATAAATAGATTTATTGTACCTGTAGAACAGCGTATAATAGATAAAAATACAAATGAATGTGAAGAAGTGACAGTTATTTAGGGAGAGTCAAAGTGAGGGAGGGCTGGGGGGTGGAGTAGGTGGGGTAAGTAGGGATACGGCTCAACTTACCCCGCTCCTGTGGCCCACTTATCCATACACGGGGTAAGTTGACCATAGGAGACCACTTTTTTTGGCATGCTATATTTTCAAGGCAGTTATGTTTACACTCATTCTGTTGGTTTGCAGGGATGCACAACATCTTCAAATATGCAGATACACTAGTTAGAGACAAAACTATGATTGCCTTGATGTAGTGATCCGAAGTATGAAAAATGGCTCATCTTACCGCACTCTCCCCTGCTTGTTATTTTTGTTCATAGGAGAAGTTGGTTAACTGTAAGAGTAAACCACAATCTTTTGGGCACCTGGCATCATGGCGAGTTGAAACATATTTTGATACTGAGCCCACCGTCATGCAGTGCAAACTTGGTCGTCCAACTGTTTGAACTCCCAGGTATAAGTTGCTTCTGTCTCTGTTTTAGGTTGGCAAGCTTGGCCAGCATTGCACCAGCAATACGTTTACTGTGACACTCCATCGGCATAACACATACCTGGAAAGCCTCCCCAAGGCTGAAACCTAAGGAGCAAGATGTCAATCACAAACACTCCCACTAGTAATGACGCCTGCCTGAGCATTGTACACAGCCTGATGTGCCACAGACAGGGAGGAGAGAGTGAAAGCTTTGCAAAGCGAGCCATCGAGAGTCTCGTCAAGAAGCTGAAGGAGAAGAAAGATGAGCTGGATTCCCTGATCACAGCCATCACAACGAATGGAGCTCATCCAAGCAAGTGTGTAACCATACAGCGGACCTTAGATGGACGCCTACAGGTATAGTCGCACATGTGCACTGCCATGCTGGTTTAGAGTCACATTCCTGGTCTGCCTATCTCATGAGATTGCTCTCTTTGTGCTTCAGGTTGCTGGACGTAAAGGTTTTCCTCATGTTGTCTATGCACGACTATGGCGATGGCCTGATCTACACAAGAACGAATTAAAACATGTGAAATATTGCCAGTATGCCTTTGACCTGAAATGTGACAATGTTTGTGTCAACCCATACCACTATGAGAGGGTTGTCTCTCCAGGCATTGGTGAGTAAAACCCACATATTTGTAAGTCACATTCGATCTAATCAAGTTTATTTAGTTGCTATTCATCTTACATAAAGCACATTTCATCATCTCATCCTTAAAAATACATCCCTACTTGATAGAGTGATATTCCTGTTTTCTTTTTGTGTCTTTTTAGATTTATCAGGACTGACTCTCACAGGTTCAGGTATGTTTGCGTCAAAGCACTCCTGTTTGCAGGTATGTAAAATGCCCGTCTTATGTATTGTTATTGTCTCCATATACTGTAGCTCCACTTTTGGTGAAGGATGAGTATGACTACGACAACCAGCAATCTCATTCGAGCTCTGAGAGCCACCTGCAGACTATACAGCATCCTCCATCAAGGCCTGGTCCTCAGGAGACCTTCAGCAGCCCAGCCCTACTTCCACCGACAGAGGGTAGCAGCTCAGCTTCAACCTCTGCTTTTTCCACTATCAGTGCTGGACCCTCAAGTGAGACATATATATGTTTTTGTCAGTCACAACTGAGCGAATATAATAATAACTGTAAATTTTGTGTCGTAAAAGTGGATTTAGGTTATTTTAAACCAGCTAAGTAGTCATCAAATTTATCTCGACATGATTTTTGGTTGAATAAGACCTTACTTTTGGAAACTAGGTGTACTATACAGGCCTACAACTGCACAAGTTTTGCATCTCGAAGCTCTTTTTATTTTCAGATGCTGCCCCCAACTGGAGCAGAAACAGCAGCTTCACCCCTGCGGTACCTCAACACCAGAACGGGCATCTACAGCATCATCCACCCATGCCCCACACAGGACATTACTGTGAGTGGACAGAAAGCATTAGAAACTTCAGCAATACTCGCTCTAAACCTTTCCAGATGATGCAGACATAATTCATGAATAAATTTCCTTTTATAATCTAATGGAGACAATGTACCATGAAAAAAATTACTCTGACAATTAGATGTGAAGCGAAACATTCATCGCTGTGCCTAGAGGATATTATTAACCTTCAGAAATTAACAACTGATTTAAAGACACAGTAACTCAGACATAGGTAGACCTATTTGTTCATTTTTTAACTTTGATAGATTAGGCCCTTTTTTTTCTTGCATTAGAGACAGATTGATAGTCATACTCAAAATTTAATCCTGCAAAAAAAATAAATGAATAAAAAGAAAAAGATTTGTACAGTAAAAGAGGCAAACTCTATGAAGAGAAAAAGAGCAATCAAAAGCCAGGCTCAAAAGGTCAAATAGAGAAATATCAATGAGTCACACGCCAATAAAGATAGACCAAAAAGGCCAAGAAAAAAGTTAATAAATGATTCTATTAAAAGGTCAGTAAAAAGAAAGACTTAGAAGTTAAGTGAAATCAATAGATGGACTGCTCTGTCAAAACCCCATTCTGTACATTTTGTGTAATCTTGTCATCCTCATTGTCGCCCTGTGTGATCTGTGTTCATTGCTGGGTTATCTTTCACACATAAAGAGCTGCTGTGGTTTCAGAATTGGCTTGTATCAAAATGATTATTGACCTGTTTTCACAGGGCCAGTTACCAATGAAATTGCATTCCAGCCCCCCATTTCTAATCACCCCGGTGAGTATCGAGCTGCACATGGAGGACTGTCCACACATCTTGAGTAATCAGCGCAACACATTTGACCCGAACTTGCTTGTGTTCCAGCTCCAGAGTATTGGTGTTCCATTGCGTACTTTGAGATGGACGTCCAGGTTGGCGAGACGTTTAAGGTTCCATCAACATGTCCGATCGTGACTGTTGATGGCTATGTTGATCCATCAGGAGGGGACCGCTTTTGCTTGGGCCAGCTGAGCAACGTCCACAGGACAGAGAATATCGAGAGAGCCAGGTACTCTATCATTTAAAAAAACAAACAAACAAACAATATATTACACACAAATTAAATGTACTCTCTGCATCTGGGTTTAATAGACTGTAATGCAATGGGTCTGTATGTTTCACCTGTACTGTGTTCACAAATGTTTTCCTCTATATTTTGTGTCCCCAGGCTTCATATTGGCAAAGGCGTGCAGCTGGAGTGCAAGGGTGAAGGAGACGTCTGGGTGCGCTGTTTGAGTGATCATGCGGTTTTTGTGCAGAGCTATTATCTGGATCGAGAAGCAGGTCGTGCCCCTGGAGATGCAGTTCATAAGATCTACCCCAGCGCTTACATCAAGGTGCGATTGCGGTACACGTTGAAAAGCAGAATGCAGAAAAAATCATGCAGATTTGTGTCTTTCTTTGCATTCCCTACGCCTAAACACCTTCACTGACAAAGGCTAGAATATGAATAAGGTTGTATAAAGCTGTCCTTAAGACGATAAGAAAACAGGCTTAAAAATGCCCCTTTTTAAAATAATGATCCAGTCAAACATTATAAAGGAATCTAAAGACTTTAAGAGAGTCTTAAGGTTTTATAACTGTGTATTGACTTTTTGTGTAATAGGGCTGAACTTAAAACATGTCTCACCTCGGGTCTGACGAATCACAGCTCTGTAATATTAATCCCAGAGTTACGACAACACATGCCAAGCTTCACACTTAAAGACCCACTCCGATGAAAATCACGTTTTTCTTGTTTTTTTATATGTTCATTTTTCGGCATTTTTCTGACGCTACAAGACATATCATGAGAAAACTAAATGCGAAATTGCTTTTCTGATTATTTCTTCATTCAAATCGCTGTGAATCTCTGGCAGACCTAAACAGCAGGTTCAGAAACAGAGATTTCATATGTAACCACTCCAAGCTCCGCCCCCAGAGCCTCCTTATGCAGGCCACACTCTGCATATCGAGGAGAAATAGAGAGGACGAATGTGGAACAAGCGTGTGCGTTAGCAGATTGCAATGCTCGTAAGAAAGCTAATTATGATTTTAGCTTTCATCGTGTCCCTAAAGACATTGGTGTCTGAGAGCTGAATAGCTTCTGTGTTACCTACCACTTCTACTACACCGGCAATGTTAGGCAAGCTAATGTAAAGACGAGTGTTCAGAGCAGCGCTGTCTCCGCCCACGACTATGAGGAAAATTGCTAATGATCTACTGGAGCTCTGCTGAAGAAAAGACCTTTAAAATGATACAGGTAACGCGATTTTGGGTAAAAACAAGTTAAAGACCACTGAGAACTTTTTAAGTGGTAAAAAAAAAAAAACAATCGGAGTGGGACTTAGAGTTTTATTTTTTTATTTTTAAGGAAATAAAAACACGTCACTGTAACTTTGTCCACGCTGTGAACCATGTCAGTTTGATTTAAACCACATAGTATTTTGAGACACTCACATACTGCTGTGTTCCATTAGTATCATCTTCAGTCATCATCAGACTCTTTGCTTGTCCCCTCGGCAGGTGTTCGACCTGCGACAGTGCCACAGACAGATGCAGCAGCAGGCAGCCACTGCTCAGGCAGCAGCTGCAGCTCAGGCAGCTGCAGTGGCCGGGAACATTCCAGGGCCTGGGTCCGTAGGCGGCATCGCTCCAGCCATCAGTGAGTTTTTTTTTTTTTTTTACTGCTACACTTGACCTTCAACCAGAGTATAATGATGACTGTTCTCAGCTGTTTTAAGTATTCGAAGTCCAGGGGAATGTCAGGGTTTTTCTTGCGTTGATGGAAGCTGTGGATTATGAACAAGAGAAAAGCTCGAGATCAATAAAACAAGAGGCTGAATTTTCTCCACAGATAAGAAGCCAATGTATTTCAGTGTTATTGGACATACAGTACTGTAGGCAAAGTGCATCCTGTGCACATTACTGGTAGGAAACTGTAAATATTGTATTAAGATGCAGTTTTAACATGCATTAAACAGAACAATTAGACCCTGCCCTGTATGCAGAAAGCATAAATATTCTATATTGCAGAACTTCTTTCACAGAAAGCTCATGTGCACTTAGCAGGAAACATTGCTATTGAAGTGTGTAGCAATGACAGTTTTAAAGTTTTGGACAGTGGTAATGATTTTCCACACATAGTTTCAGGATCTTAAAGTGAAAGCCGAAATGTAGTTAACAGTTGTAGCCTCAACAGAGTGGGAGATGCCTGAATGCCAGAAGTACTTTTCTCACTTTGTCTATCGAGTGTTCTGTATGTTTCAACTTCTGCTGCTAGAGAAACTCAGCCGATATCGTCTCTGTGAGGTTTGGCCTATAGTCCCGCATCGATCTCAATGTTACTACCCATACTTCCCCTGCAGGTTTGTCTGCCGCTGCAGGCATCGGGGTTGACGACCTGCGCAGGCTGTGCATCCTGCGAATGAGTTTCGTGAAGGGCTGGGGGCCTGACTACCCACGTCAGAGCATCAAAGAGACGCCCTGCTGGATTGAGATCCATTTACACCGAGCTCTGCAGCTGCTGGATGAAGTTCTGCACACGATGCCCATAGCTGACCCTCAACCTCTTGACTGAGTTAAAAGACACGAACTGCACAGAAAAAACAAGAATATCAGACTGTACTTTTAACAGACCACTTCACCTATAGATCTGGAAAGTCGAAGGATTGCAACAACTGAGATGCTGAGTAGGTCAGAGGAGGCCGGCAGTATACTCCAAACACACTGTAGACTCAAGTGAGACAACTCAGTAAGTTCTCTGACTGTCTCCAAACAGCTGCAGGAACAAGTGAGTCACTCTGGGAGGAGATGTTGTACAGTGGAAACATACTGCCAAGAGGATGTGCACACAAAAAAAAAACCACAAAACAAAACAAAGACATTCTGACATTGTTCAAGAAATGTTCCGCAGGAGGTGAACAAGGCGAAGCCTCTCAAGTTGATACAAAAGTACTTAAAGAATTGAAGGTACCTACAAGATAATGTCCACTCCGAGATGAAAAGGTACATTTGAAACGAGTGCAGCGTTTCACAAAACAGATGCATCACCAAGAAGAGAAATGATTCATACTTGGCCTTCAGTGTTTTTTGTCAGCATAAACATTTCAATATGTGACACTTACTGAGCCCCCCCCCCTAAAAGGGAGAACTTGGGCTCAAAAAGTCCATCTGAGCACAATCAGGCGCCTTGTTTTGAATTATTTACCTTCTCAATGTGTTTCCAGTTGGAGTATACTGCTGGTCTGTTCCTCCCCTGGTGACTCTTTTGGTTTATGTAAATGAAGCCCCCCCCTCCTCTCCTCTTACCCTCCCCCCTCACAGATCAGGACATTATGTAAAGTCATGTTATTCATTACTCATGTTTTTGTAAGATGTAGTCTTGGATATTTTTCAATGCTGACTGTACTTCTTTTTGTTTCATTTATATTCACATGTTCGGTAGTTGGTTTTTTAATCCCATAAAGAGTCCCATTTTTAGCTGAACTCGATTCTCATCCAGCACCATAAAGCATCGTAGTTTCATTATTCCTCAACCAGTCAGGGCTGTAAGGAGAAGTGGCGTTTTATACTGAAGTTTTTCAAGCCTCAAATTAGATTGACCTTATTAAAAAAAAATCAAGAATGATTATCGTAACACATTTACGTAATATAATTTGTAACTGTTTTTTGATTTGATGCCCACCTAGTGTCCATTAGCACTTTATTATTAATTTGCCTGAATATTTTGTCTCGTTTGATAGTGTCATTCGTGGCTACTTGTTGTATCCATTTGATCTTTTAGCATAGGTGTAAAGTTTTTCTCGCTAACGACATTGTTGAGATCCATGAAAATGTGTTTTGCAGCATCGATTACCCCCCCAATAGCAGCTAGAGAGGCGTGTTAAACTCGGTCATGACTCTCATGAACCATAGTTTTTTATCCCATCTCAAACTTTGAAACAACCACTTTTCAACCCTTGAGGGACTCTTGGATGCTCAGAAGACACATTTTGGATGGAGAATTGTTTATATGGCCACTCTTTTTAAATTAGAAGAATACCTGAATGACAGTTATGTGACGTTTTCTAGACAACAGCTGAGTAAAGGAAGCAAGGAATGAACTGTGAGAGGAAGTTTAAGCCATATCGATGCCAAATATACATCTATGAAGAAGTGAGAAGATTATCAGACTGAAGTCATGTCAGTGTTACGTTGCTTGTTGAAGCTTGGTTTTAATCTTCGAGAAAATTCTTTTTAGTTTTCGCTCAGCACTATTGATCAACTATTTTGGTATCTGGAGCTCTGTTTACCTACCGCTGTTACCGCAGTATTTTATACTCTTTTGCTACCGTTACAGCTAGAAACCACTCTGGTCATATTTGAAAATGTAAAAAGAAAGAATAATGCTGTAAAAATTTTCAGGAAATGCAACTTAATACTCATCTCTATCTTTATGTCATACATACTGAGTTTGAATGATATTGGTGTTTACATATATGAATATGGTTGAATAAAATGTAATGGGCTAACAGATTTTAGAGTTGTGAAATTAATGAGGAAAAAAAAAACAAGACTTTCAACAAGAAAACGTTTATTTACTGCAAAGACAAGTCACAAATTTTAAGAAAACAACACTAAGAAGCTAGCCTGAGCTGAGATCTGAAATATTCAGAAAACCAAACTACATGTGTCTTTAATAGTTTCTATAATTATCAATACGACACACTAAATGATAATGTCTTTATAAATATAAAAGTCCCCCAATTGTCCTCATTTTTTGATGTAAAATACACAATACAAATCACCCTACACGCATTGGTTTGCTTGCCAAATTTAAGAAGAGAAAACTGAATGGCACACGAAAGGAAAGTCACATGAAATCTGTTTGGGTATATATTATATTAGGTACTATACATTATCCGAAAAGAAAAGAAAAAAATGAAGGAGAAAGAAATCACAAAAGCACTTTCGCCAAATATATCTGTTCACCAAAAAGAACAAATCAAATAATAAGGACACAAATAAATAGACTTTTTTTAGTTTTTGATATATACATATTTTTGTCCAGGGTGAATTAAAAAAAAAAAGAAAAAAAATCAGAAGTCCTCAAATGCCACTGCCAAATGCTTGTGCTTGCATTAGAGCGTGCTACAGCTGGCCACAACTCACTACACTGTCAAATGGCACTTGGAAAAAAAAACAAAAAGAAAACAACCAAATACAAATCTCAAACAGGTCACAGCATTCAGAAAATATCATTTTACAAAAGAAATCACGACCATGAGAAAACAAGTTCAGAAGAGAGCTTTTTTTACTTACAGTAACTCTCTGTGTTCTTTAACCAGTTCTGTACACTAAAAAGCCATTTGCAGGTAATCTACTGAGTAAACCACTAAAAAGGTGTTTGTGTCGTCACATCCAGTAAATAATAAATAGTCCAGTTTTGAGAACAGGTCTGAATGCTTCCCCTGCGGCAGCACCTGTGCAACCAAACGCTCTGATAGCCTCTATCTTTCGCCCACCAGAGACCCATTAGTCACCCAGGCCGTCTGCTCTGGCCGGGCGAAGTTCAAGGCACTGGAGTCTGCTATGGGTCAGTTAAGCTGCCATTACGTCCAGGTGGAGAGGCATCTTAAAGATTTTTCCAATATCAAGCAAAGGAGTAGCTCCTGCTTTCTATGTTTTCTAGTTAATGGGCTCATTTGCAAACAGCTGTTACGAAAAAAAATTAAAAAGAAAAAAAAAAGAAAAGAAAAACAACAATCCAACTTCTTGATTTCAAAAACACAGAATAAAGTACAACTGTGTTGGCAGCATTAACATCAGTCCAGTGTTCACCAGGCAGGCTCTGAGATGCAGAAAAGCTAAACCACTGTCTGGCACATAAAGCCGATATAAAACAAAAAAGAAAAGGGGGAAAAAACTGAAGAGGAAGAAAGAAAAGAAAAGTCAAAACAGTTTCTAGCAGCACATGGGAGGCGTGCAAGACCAGAAAGCACTTATGATCCTAAAGCACACATTTAAAGAAAACATTTCATTTTTCAATTCAGGCACAAAATTATACAAGTTTACACCTACAATGTTGTAGTTACTTCATATGACAAGGGAGCTGAGATTCATATTTATCAAAAAAAGCATTCAGTGAGAAACAAACAAACAAAAAAAAAAACATAAGGCAAAACCTTCATTCCTTACCCGTACACACAATACAGATTAAAACATAATTTAAAACACAACAGGACCATCACTTTTGACAACTCAATTCTCAAAAATGCAGCAAGTGGTGAGTAAGGTAATTGAGCTTTTAAGAATTGTTTGACTCCATTTCTATATCACTTCATGAATATAGATATATGTGCAGCTCTGGAGAAAGTTTAAAGAATGATCTTGGACTTAACATTTTTTAACAATTTATTATGTTTTTATCACTTTCATTACTTTCTCTGTACCCGATACAAGTTTAATTCCAAGAGACGGAGCAGTCGACTATGGGAGTTCATTGTGGTCACAGACTCTTGTAAACAAAACGCCTCAGGACTTCTTACAGCGACTCAAAGTTCATTGACCTTTTCTTGCAGACTTTCCCAACTGTCCTTCAGAGAAACAGTAAGACAGCCAGATTTGTGCGCTTGGTCTGGAAATAGACATTACAAGCCTGGAGGATGAGAGTAAGGCTCAACTAAAGGATATGTACCGTCCATTTCATCAGGGAGGGAAGGGTCTCTGGGTCTTTTGAGGGTATTCAAAGTGTCTTGGAAATATTTTAATGACACAAAAATACAATCCCATATCCAAAAAAGTTAGGCTCAAAAAAAGCAGAATTTAATGGTACATTTAATTGTAAATGGTGCAAAGGCAACATATAAGATGTTGAAACTTCATTTTTTGTAGTTGAAAGGTGGAAGTGATTTGGGCCCATGCTGTGATGTTGACAGAGGGTTTCTTGGATGCTCTTAATTTTTGATACTGTGTGAGCTACATCACAAACTTCTCCCAGTCGTTACTTTTGAGGGACTCAGCCCCAGTCTTTTTTAAAATCCAGTAAAAATGATTATTAAACTATCAGTATCAACATCTGCTTTTGCCAACATGCTCCAACTTTTTTTGGAAACAGGGTTGTAGAATAGCACTCTCCCTTCACTGCTATTCTGCCCAGACAGTCAGGAAAAAATAGCAAAGAGCCATTTTCTTTTGTTGTATTTGAAGGGATTAACTGACTAATTAGAGACCATTAAATACAGCATACAGTTTTAACCTTTTTTTTCTTTTCAAAAAGCCTAGCTGACTTATGATGAAAAAGATAAATAAAAAAAAAAAAAAAAAAAAAAAAAAAAACATCCAGTCCTACTGTTCAGTAGTTTTGCACTTTGCAGTGGTATAATTCACAATTCATTATCGGTACCCATAATAATCTTCAAACGGGTGGACACCTTAAACCAAAACACAATAAATATCAATAAATAAACATTTCCTCGCAGAAGCTGTCGGATCATTTCAACAAGCTGAAATAAAGAACGGAATAATTATTTTTTTTTCCTGTTTGGAGGATTAATCTCAGTTTTCTCCATGATGTAGAAGGCTAGAACAGTTCAAGTATAGATGGAGTCAAACAGATCAGAAGTTAGTCCCCCATGCCTTTCCCATTTCACAGTCTAAAAATGAACTACTTAACGAGGAGCTACCGAAAAACAGAAACCATCAGATCAACCACATAAAAAGCAACAAATATATGTAGTGTATCGTCATTATATATACTATACATATATATTTATAGATATATAGATATATATATCGCTTTGATTATCACAAAATATCTACTTTTGGTCCGCTGTACAGAGATGATCTTCAAACAGGGAACAAAAAGGATGAAAACATTTGATGGGCTAAAAGCTGAAGTGAAAACGTTTCAGAGGTGAGAGAAAAGCGATGCGGGTTTTTCTCTGTTGTGTTGAGATTTGTGCAGTACAATGGTGTGTGTGTGTGTGCAATAAGGTTTGGTGACTGTGCTGCACGCGTCAAAAAGGGCTGGCACCACTGGTTTGAGGTAGGGTGACTGATGATGTGTTCCAACACAAGCACGCCGACACACAAGCGAACACGCAGGCTTATATATACACATGTACATTAAAAAGAGACAGTGCAGACACACGCACACGCACTCAAACACACATACATACACAAAGGCTAATGCGAGAATAGGCCTCAGGAGAGAAGAGTTAGGGCAGGAGCAAGGCTAAAAGACCATGATTCACATATGTAACAAGCTTAGTAGAGCTGATCCAGAGAAAACAACAACAGGTGAGTCTGTGCCTGCATCCCTTGGTCTCGACACTGATGAGCCCGCCCAAATCCAGCCACGAGTCACCAGACAGCCAAAATGTGTGGCTGGGACGTTGCAGAGGGGGCTGTGGGCTCTCTGCAGCACACAGTCAGGACTACAAGGACAGCTGCATTTTAAGGATAAGGCACTATGATAAAGCCGAGGTACATTAAATCCCTGACATTCCTTCTGCTCTGCGACATGGCACTGTGGGACAGGAAAGAGCTCGAGGTCGGCCCAAATGGCTTACACTCAGCTTCCTCTAGGTGTTTTTTTTTTTCTTTTTTTTTTTGGTCCTTCTTGAATGTATGAAACTTCATCGAGACAGAAACTGCAAAAACATGGAAAACACATCTACTAAGTTGTTTTAAAGGTGACAGCTGGTCATGTAAACTGCACTACAGAGCATAATAAACAAAAGGCAAGCACTATGCACAAAGTGCTCAGAAAAGCTAGCATCCAGAAAGTGGTTTTTGTACAGCCGGTCTTAACAATCTCATCTCTATTTACACACAAGTAGCAGCACAGACATTTAAGGGTTGCTTTTTTTCTGTGGCTAAAATCTAAGAGTGTGTCACTATCGGATCTTTTAAACAGAAAATACGACACTTCCCCAGGATCCGTTAACATACATAGAAAGTTATCCCTTTGTTTCTTTTAGCTACATACAATACCCAAAATATTCTGTTTAGCCAAATCAAGAGTTGGAAAAAAAAAAAAAGTAGAAATCAGAACAAGCACAATGATAGCACCATGAGTTTTAAGAAATACCACTCGAAAATAAAGCAAAACTATTTACAATCAGCAAAAGTCTCGATGACTTTGCCCTGCTGGGACTAGTGACATGGATTTGAGCTCTGAGACATCAGTAGTTTAAAGGAGTTTACCCTTCAAAATAAAATCTGTCTTTGCAGACAGACAGAGGCATTATGTCAGGCCTGAATGGGAAACATTTACCGGGTTAAAATCAGTCTTTCTCCTACACCTGCTGTATTGTAGAAGAGCACAGACTAAAGGGATGACGACACATCCAGAATCTGAACTGTCAGAGTGTCATCATTTCTGCACTCCCCCACCGACTGAGCATAGAGAGTTAGAGCGTGTCCACAGAAGACCAGACAGACACAATGCATGATAAAGACAGAAACCCCCAGACTCAAAGATAGAGATATGTGGAGAGAGAGAGAGAGATAGCATAAACAGGTCAGAGCCCGTGTTAGCCTCGGACCCTCAAACCGAGGCATAGGTGTTTCCTGTGGCGCTGCAGTGGCGGATGGTGGGGGTACCGGCAGAAGGGGTGAGGATGTGCTCGCTGTGGTCCTGGGGGGGCTGTGGCAGCGAGTGGAGGACACTCGGCTGGACCACCCCGACCACAGGGTGGGACCCATCCTCTAAAGCCCCGACCTGGATCACCTGGATGACCTCGTGCTCTGACTTCTCTCGTTTGGCGAGAGGCTCCCCTGACTCCTCTGTGTCTTCTTCCAAGTCACTGTCCATCCCACTCGTTTCATCTAGACAGGAGAAAAGACCACCCTGGGTTTATTTCACCATGAATTTCACACAGTAATTATACAGAACTGGACTAAAGCTTTTGAACACTAAAACCTTTTTCTCTACAATCAATTTTACTTTTGTTTTTGATGTGTTGCATTATTCTACCCCCACTCGCTGATCTAAGTGGCTATTTAAAGGTGCATCTCAATGAATGAGAATATTTTTTAAAAGTTCAATACTTTCTGACTCTTTATTGACTTAAATTTGAATATTTAATTTATAGACTTATTACAAGAATCAAATTGCTTAATGGAATTTTCAACTTGGGTCAACGCCTTCAGCTTTTCTCTAAATACTAACGCCCACAGTGAAAACTGCTGACTTGACAGCTGTCCGGAAGATGATGACAGACACCCTTCACAAGGAGGGTTAGCCACTGAAGGTCTGTTACAGTGTTCTATATCGAGCCATGGCTTTTTAAAGTTGACTATAAGGGGAACTTCAGAGGGAAAGGTGAATGCGCAACAAGGATAACCTCAGCCTTGAAAGGATAGTCAAGATAAGGCCAGCAAAGACTTTGGAAGAGCCCCACAAGAAGTTGACCACGGCTGGTGACAGTGTATCAAGAGCCACCCCACACAGACATGTTCAGGATGGGAGATACAGCGGTCACATTTATCATATCAAGCCACTTCAAAACCAGAGGAAATAGAAGCTTCTCATCTGCGCTAAGGAGAAAAAAAACTGCTGTATTCACATTCTGAGGATCCTCTTCGAGAGCTTTTTACTTCACTCTTTTAGCAAGGACTCCTAATCTAGGACCGATTCAAGAACAATCTCAGCGAGGAAGAGTAGGGAGGTTTTATCTCGCTGAGGAGATGTGAAATCACCCTGACCAGATTTCTCATTTCAGGTCAGTTTTTTTGATTGATGTTAGGAAGGATGTAATCATCTAAGATTGACTATGAAGCTCAGTGTCAAAGTCGTTGAATTCTAATTGAAATTAACAATGCCCTCTGAACTGGAACAGCAAATTCCCTTTAGAACCTCACAAGTCAACCCTTGTTATCTCTTCTCTAGGTACAATTTGACTTCTCCACATACCTTTATCAATGTTGGTGAGAGACAGGGTGTTGAGGCTGTCAAACTGAAACAGAGAAGCAATCTCATTAGACACGATTTTTGTGATTCAAACAGCTTGAATTCTTTTGTCAATCAGAAGAAATAACTGCAGTATACCCATGTTAAACATCTCTTACTGTACATGTGGTATATAGAGTATTCACAATAGCAATAACTTCACATGAAAATATAAATAACCATTTAAAGCATTAGAAAAATCATATCAACACTACAAAGATCTGATGTGAAAGTCATACCTCCCCCATGACTCCAATGGGTGTCTCTCCAGTCGCCTGGGCAACCCGATGCTCCACCAGGTAGAACATGTACTCGTCATACAGCAGGCGAATCAGGTGGAAGGACCCGAAGCTGGCAGCACTGCGCAGGGTCAGGTCCCTGATCACCATAGAACTGCACAGACAAATGAAAATAATGATTTTTTTACCCACTCAAAAACAACACGACATATTCAAAGACACATCACATGGCATGGTTGTTAGAATTCAGACCTGTAGAAGGACCACTTGAGCAGAAACTGTCGAGCCGCCCGGGGGAAGCTGGGCCGGTTCTCGTAAGGCTTGAGCACCTGAGTGACCACATTGTCTAGCCAGGCTGCCCACTGCTCTAGAGAACTCTGCTGCTGCAATGTAGCCTTGAAGTCCTGCTCCAAGTGCTGAACCACACCCTCCTCACACTGGCATACCCATGATGCCTGCTCCTGTACAGCGACAAAGATGGAGGACAAAGGTAATGTTTGGACAGTCAAGGTACAAAAACAAGAATATAGTTTTAAAAGAGAGGTAGGAGAAGTGTTATTTAAAGGGATATTCTGGCATAACATTAATTTAGGGTCAAACACACCAAAACACCAAGTTAGACACCCCCTCGAGAGATGAATGTTGCCGACCGCTTGCTTCTCTAGTTATACCAACTTTAGTAACGACCTCGAGATAGCAATACACAGCGGTCTGAGGAGCCACAAACAAACCTCAACCAAAACGCCACTCTATAGCCACAAATAATGCTCAGATCAGCACCTAACTTCATCAACAGTTCATATAGGGTCCCAGCCACAGCACTAGCCACCAAACATCTTTTTAACTTTGCCTAATTTCTTTAGCAGAGAGACTAAACACAACTCACCTACTCTCTTCCAGCAGCTGCTTGTTTGTAGCGAGACCTCGGGCCAGTCCATTACAGACTGCTGCGGGGTGACGCAGCTCAAGGAAGAACATTTATGATCATTTCTTCATGGAAATGCAATCAGACTGAGATGCTGAGGCAGAAGAACTACTGCGTCTGCAGCGCAAAATGATTAATATGGTGATTATTACTTCAAGAAAATGATAAAGTAATGATCTTAAATGTTCTTCCTTGAGCTGCGTCACCCCACAGCAGTCTGTAATGGACTGGCCCGAGGTCTTGCTACAAACAAGCGGCTGCTGGAAGAGAGCAGGTGAGTTGTGTGTAGTCTCTGCTAAAGAAATTAGGCAAAGCTAAAAGTATGTTAGGTGGATAGTGCTGTGGCTGGGACCCTATATGTACTGTTGATGAAGTTAGGTGCTGTTCTGAGCATTATTTGTGGCTATAGAGGGGTGTTTGGTTGAGGTTTGTTTATGGCTCCTCAGACCGCTGTGCATTGCTATCTCGAGGTCGTTACTAAAGTTGGTATAACTAGAGAAACAAGCGGTCGGCAACATTCATCTCTTGAGGGGGTGTCTAACTCGGTGTTACGGTGTGTTTGACCCCAACTCAATTTTACGCCGGAATATCCCTTTAAGTAACAAAATCATCACTGCTTCACACATGAGCTGTTCTTACCTGAACATTGGCAAAATCAACACGGTTAAGATCGCTCAGCATCTGGTTGATCTGTGATGTGTTTTGCAACACAGCACGTGCCGCCTGAGCCAGGTGGTTCAGAGATGTGTATCTGCGCAGTGTTTGCGCAAAGGCACTAACAGCGGCAATCTGTGGTAAGAGAGCAAATAAAAGTCCAGCCATCAACTACTTTAGATTTACGTGCCTTTCAAAATAAAAGCGTTGGAATTGTTACCTTATAAGATGAAAAATAATTGATTTTGGAGACAAATCGTAAAAAAAATTGCACGAATTCTGCCTTTTTACCTTGGTCTGGATCATTCTCTGTGGAATGGCATTCATGGCAATATTCAGCCAACCTTCCAGGCTTTTGGCAAAGTTGCGAATGGCTTGAGTCAAGGCACCTGCAGAAAGACATAAAATCTTTTAAAAACGAGTTGGTTATTGTGAGATTACCAGGAGTGACATGTTAACAAGTAGACAGCAGTGGTGTAAGTGGCCCGGTTCTCACTGGGAATGGGTCTCAGGACATCAGGAATGAGAATCTCCACAAGGGCCTGGTACATCAGATGGTCGCAGGTGCTCATCCATTTGAGCACGGCCTCGTTTCTGCACAGTACTAGGAGCTGAGCGCGAGGGAGGCGGGCTTCAATCTCGCTTACACTGCTGAAAATGAACAAGACAGAGAAAGCTGCTTTTTCCTCGCCATCAGAAATGTAATTAAACACATGTTTGTAAAGGTCAAAACTGATCCTGGTTACTAATCGTCTGCTCTTTGACCTCACCTGTTTTCTGTTACAGTGGCACCCTCTACAGAGTCAGGTGGGGAATAACGCCAGAATGTCTGCCATAGCTTCTCAATTAGACTGAACTGGAGGTTGACGACAACATCCAGGATAGCCTGGAACGAAAGCAGTGTTAAGAAAACCCCAGAAGAAGAAATATTCCGCCTAAACAATGTTAACAGTTAGCTCTGTAGATAATTGAGTTGGCTGTCAATATGTGGCATGGGAGGAAGTTTATCTTTTTTCTGAGACTTTAATTATTAGAAGAAGGCCATAAGTAACGGGTCAATGCCCGTGGGTGACCCGATCTCTGCTTTGTCAGACATTAGGGGAGCTGTGATTGAACACTTCACAAGATGAAGAGAAAAAATCTGTTCCAAAATGCCAGCAGCTGGCATTTACAAATCTCTGTCACAATATGCACCCATGACATTTCCCAAAGTTTCCTTGCTCGGATTCCCGCTAAACTTTGAATATGCGTCCTTTGATAAACCCACTAAACTTCAGCTCAGGATTATTAGTCTTACCAGCCTTTTCTCATTAAAGACAGCTTAAATGAGATTAAACTAGTGAGTTGTTCCAATAAAAGCGGCGAGACTGAATCATATGCATGGATTGATTTTTTTTGGAGAGAATGAGAATCGAAATAAGAAATAGAGATTTTCAGGGGGTGGAAATTCTGGTTCTTGCTGATCAATAGGTGAATGCAAAGTCACAATGCCCGCAAAGACATATTGATGAGGCTGTATCAATAAATGCTTCATTATGGAGGAGGATCCCTTTCCTTTCCTTGAACTCTGAGGAGCAGCCCAACACCCTCTGCACCCTGCACGTTTCACTGTATGCACTTTGATCTCACCTCACAGTGCTCTCTGTAAAGGGACTGGAGAGCTTTCACGTCCTCTGAGCTGATGTTCTCTGTATTGCTCTGTCCCAGGTCCAGCTCCACAAAGTCCGGGAGTGCCCGTGATGCATCTGTTTGGTGAAGAGAAAATTTAAGACTAATTAAGACTAATGTATATATCTTTTTTTTTAACTCTTGAGTTTCTTTATCCTTCAATTTCGCTTTCCATGCTGTTGTAATTTGGAATTTCCCCCTGAGGGACTATTACAGGAATATCTTATCTTAAGTCAAAGCATGAGAATCTTAACAAAAACATAATATTCCTGCTTTGGTTTGACTGACACTCCAGCTTCTGACCTAAGAACTGCTGGTGGTGTTGGCTCTGTGCGATCACTGTCTGCTCTGCTGCACCAGGATGGGGCTGACCTCCACTTGAGTAATTCTCCCCAGAGCAGCTGTCAAACTTCTGCACCGGCTTAAACCTGTAAAGGCAGAGCTCTCTTCAGTATCAACTTGTGTTAACAGCGAGTCTTGCGCTTCTTGGATGCATACGCACCTCTGTTTCTGCTGAACAGGCTGCTGTCTGAGGGCCATGTACTGCATGTCTTCTTGAAGTCTGTTGAGTGGGGAGTCTGGTTTCACTCGTATACCATAGTAATGATATTTGGAGTTCCCTCTGCGAGACAAAAGCATGCGTGAACATACACAAGTAGATAAGATTCAAGCTATAAGTGAGACTTGAGAAATTACAGCTTTTCCTAGTTTGAGAGACAGAAACTCTGGAAAATAAAAGCAACCTTGTCCCGAGGCGTCTTGTACGGAGTCCCATGAAGATGGAGCGGATGAGTTTGCCAAAAGAGGCTGCATTTACAGGGTCCAGTTTCTGCTCCTGGCAGTGTCGCAGATAATGATTGTAGAGGGTGGATCGTGGTAGACTTACGCCCTCTGCTGTCTCATAGTTGTCCAACAGCCACTGGAGCTACAAGAGAAAACATGTTGGATTTTACTCAGGGGATTTACTCTGGTCCATGTAAACTATCTGAGCAAGACCCCAGGCTGACAGTCTAATCTTGATGCTGCAGCGTCACACCTCTGCAGAAGCATTTCTATGAAGCACTACTTCAAATAGAGGAAAACAAAAACAGCAGGCATTATCAAAAACTCAAATTAAGACAAGGTTGAGAGAGGCAGAGCTGAAACAGAAGACTGAGTGTTGCATAAGTCGAGTTAAAGCGAGGGCAAGCATTCGTGAAAAAAGCAACTTACATGGCTGTTGAGCAGCGAGCTTCTCTGACTGGATAAACCTTCAGATTTTTGGAGCGTCTCAATCGCCATTTCAATCTGATAAACCATCAAGCACAGGACAACAAAATGTAAGAGGGGGGGAAATTAAAACAAAAGCAGGAAAAAATGAAAGAGTTTCTGAAAACACATTGGTGGCTACGAGCAGGAAATAAAAGAGAATCTAGAGAGGGTCTTTAAGCAAGCACCACTAAACCCAAGCAGAGCAAGACCGCCTTTCGTAAGAAAACTCCTGCCTGGCAGAAAAAGAAGGACTCAACTGAATGAATCAGGTATGGATAGCTGGAAGACACACACAACTCTTCACAATAACCCAGCATAGATTCACTGACAACTACCAGACTCCACTGCAAAACACCAGAGCGATGTGCAAAGATGTTTTTGTTACACCTGCAACTCGACCTCAGGAAAGAATGAAAAACTGGTTTATACGCTAAGCTGAGATAATTGATTTTGGCAGACAAAGCTGTTTTTTTTGTTCATGTAATGTCATGTTTACACCTGAATGTTTTCGCCTGGTTAATTCCTACCAAAAAAGCATCAAATGTTTCATATTCATCCCTCAATAGTTCAAACTGCACATTTCTTGGACCGGTTTATCTTCTCGAGTACGTCGCTCCGGCTAGATAAGGATTAACTGCACATTTCGGCACACTGATTCTATCGACAGTGAAAAGCGTTTTCCTTTTGTCTTGGAATTACTGGATGTTTCAGGCTCTCCCACTACTGCTTCTGAGGAGGCACATTCCCTGGCTTTTGCTTTGACACAAACAAGTGAGAATTACAGACAGTTAAAGCCAGGGATGGAAACAAAGGCCTGTATTAGCTGAACATTAAATATTAATGGCTAGAAAGAGAACAATGCTGGCAGTAGTTGGATCACTACACAGGCTCAGGCCCTGCCTACATAGTGTACGGCATATATTAGCGAAGGATTATCACCACAGAGAAATAAAACATGACACACACACACCGTCATGGAGGTGAGGACTAAGCCTGCATTTTTATAATGTGACACAATCAGGATTTGGCACGTATTGAGGGTTAACCATGACAGAAGTACAGCAGCTAGTGTGAGAGGAAGAGTCGGGTGAAAGGTCAAAGGTTGGTGCACTTACAGTCGCCGGGGAAGCTCGTGCAGTCTGAGTGGCAGGATGAGCTCCAGCATTGTCCATGATGTACGCGCCAGGACTGCTGCTGATTACCTGACCCCCTGCCAGGTTCATGTTCATCCCCCCGCTGCCCCCTCCTCCGTTGTTGGTCATTCCATGAGATGTCACCACAGTCGACACTTGCGCCGAGCTGCCCTGCGTGTCGAAGTAGCTCCCTCCGCTGTTCTGGCTATACAGCTGCGGCTCTGAGTAAGAGTAGGTTCTTCTGTTGGAAGAGAGGTTAGCGGTTAACCAAATAGACGGAGAAACAAATTTCAGCCTTTAGAGACGCTGAGGACCATTTATGTTTCACTGATTCTCTTTGGATAACATGAGTAGTTTTTTTTACTGAAGGGAAGACTGCATTTTACATCATTTGATGTGAAAGCAGACAAATGGAAGACAGTTCTACTATTTTCTTTAAGACAACTTTTGATGATGAGAGACCTGTTTGATTTGGAGCTACATAACATCAATATCTTTTACGTAACGATAACATTGTTAACTTTGATTAGTTGATACATAGCTCTGTATGTTTCATGTTAATGATCTTTTTAATAACTGATTTACAGGCTTAATCACGGTTGATTAAGGGCTTAAATTAACAATCTTAGCAACTTTTAAATTAACTTATTCTGTACCTTAATAATGGAATAATCTATTAATCTTAAATGGTAACAAACAATCATGCACCACATGTGTCTACTATTGTCTATGTAGGTACACTTCAAGCATCAAATGTTGATATATTAATAAACGAGTTTTCTTGTGTGGTTTGAGCTTCTCTTTATGTTCTGTATATTTTTCACATACTGTACTGAGTCCATTGTAAAGCTTTTAAGTCCTGCTTTTGTGTAAATAAAAGACTCTTTTTTTCTAACAGTGTACATGACTCTTTTATGACTGCAGCTACAGTCTGTGTCCCTGCGTGTACACGTGTGTACGAGTGTTATCAGAGAGACAGAGATAGAGAAAAGCAAAACAAAAAAAGAACAGTTTAGGCTTCTTAGGAGGTATGTAACCCCATTCCTCAGACCCAGGGGGAGCCTGGCACACAGCATCAGCACTTGAGACGAGCCCACTTTTGGGCATGTTTATGTGACTGAGCACAATGAAACACACTTGGAAGAGAAAACAGCACCCAAAAAAACTGGACACGCTCTCACCGGCATCATGTGCTTGTGACATGAATGATGGTGTGAAGAGACTCAAGAGGAGACAAGCAGGCTGCAGGGACGCAGCGCTAATATTTGTGAAGTGGTGCAAGAGCAGAGCTGGGTGACAGACTGACTGACTCACATGTTGCCGTTGGTGTAGACGCCGCTGTTTTCCTCCACATACTGCACCTGTGCTGGGTAAACATGCTGAACCTGTTGAACAGTCTGGGCCTGTCCGGGCAAATTGCAAGAGTTGCAAATCAATTATTTCATCAATAACAATCACATATTGCAATGATAAATGCAGACAAACACATGTATGTAGCGTGTACAGGACACACGGACAGGCGGGATGTACCTGTTGCTGAACAGGCACCTGCTGGGTGGAGCCGGTAGGCTGGACAGGCACAGTGGTCTGAAGAGGGACAGTGGAGGTGGAGTCAGCGCCTGCTTCAGGGGTCTGCATGGCGCCTAAAGAGACCAGTGAAAAGAATCTTACTGATGGATTAAAAAAACAACCGTAGAAAAAGAAGCTAAAACTTCTGGTCTGACATAACAAGATTATTCAGAAAACGATGCCCAGCTAAAAATGGTACAACTTTGTAAAAAGAATCTGTGACAGTAACTTTCAGAAACTGTCGTGTTAACCTTTGCCAGACAGTTTTCCAGAACAAACTCCCTTTGATAACAAATCTATCATATTACATGAGTCAAGATTTGCATAGAGGGAAACAAATCGAATAACTCTCCGCCTGATTTGGTTAACTAGGAACATAAAATAGGCCTAAATGAGATATTATTCTACACACTATAAAGGACATTAAGTTTCAATCTGACTCTTTTCTGTTTTACCCAAAAAATCAAAGCTATCAAAGCTGCTAAAGAGAAACTCTACCCGAGCACCAGTCTCTGTCTCGTGGTACTCAATGTACCGAGAGTCTCATGCATCAGCGACACATGGTCTTGTCACCATGTTCACAGCCATAAAACAAGTTAATATTTAACTAACTCCAAATAGATGCTGCTCCTGGCGGCTCTACCAGTCCCTGTTTTCACAGGTTTAATGTTACCTGTGATTTAAGGCTCAGAACAGGGTAAAAGATACAGGCAACATAACACAAGAGGTAGACATAAACGGTACCTGCTGACAAATCAAAGCCAAAATAGGCAGTTTTAAAGTCTAGGATATGAGACATTTCTATTGAGCCTGTGTTAGTCAGTTAATAATAGTACGGCATCACCCATACTTCCCAGGGAAGGCCAACCCCCTCCCCATCACAGTTTCCATGAACAAGCCTCTCTTGGTTAATTAAGCTGGGTCTCCTAACAGCTTCAAATCTCTCCAGGGAAGGCCTGCCCCTTTCCTTTATCTTCAATATCACACTGGGCTGTTTCTTGGGATGACGGCTACCACTGGATTCGTTTTAAGGGAGATCATTTTCAGACTTGCTGCAGAAAAGTTGAGTAAGTTGTTCCTGGTGTGCAGCAAGTTAAGGAAACAGTGATATACATTTTCTTTGCAGGGGCCACTGAGATTCATTGACACAAAGACCTCTGCTTCAGCATGACGATTTCCAACACTTCAGGGAGGAGCATATGTGCAGGTTCTCTTGTTGTCAGACGTGTCGACGGGGTATTGCTTGACAGACTCGTGGAAAAAATAAACTGCAATCCACTTCAACTATATATGTTCTGTACAAACATCAAGATAAAAAATTCACAACAAAACAAATCAAGAACCCCGAGCGCACGTAGATTAAAGATGCTATGAGGTGTGGAAAACCTTCGGATGCAGGTTAGCAAATTACTAAAAAAGTCAAAGCACGTTGTCAAACCGTGGCCTCCAGCTTGCTCGATCTCACTGCTAGAAAAAGACCCCTGAGGAGAGGAGATTTTGGACTTATATTCCACTGGGCAGTTTGAAAGCTGAAGTGCGTGGCCCCAACAGAGCCCACCTAATCGAGGGAGGAAAAAAAAACACACACCCTGCATCACAACACACTCTTGTTGCCTCACCCCAACCCCCTTCACAAACTCACACACACACACACACACACACACGCACACACTAACACACCTCCTGCCTCACCATTCAGGCACTCCCTTGTGGCCCACTTAAATACTGTGCTCCACTGAGCGAGTGCAAGCCCCTACAAAGACACAGAGGAACAAAAGCCACCAAGGAGGGCAACATTTTGCCCCTGCGTTTTGCTCCCCTCGATTCCTCTTGCTGACATTTAGGGTAACAAATAGTTGAGGGATTCATAGATCTATGCAGCAGCCACAAAATAAACACAGGCGGGATTTGCTTTTCTGATGATCAGACATGATTACAGTAGAATCTGATACACCAGGTTAAAAAAGTATACACACATAAAATGCATGTAAACCCCGGCAAGACAGAGGCACAATAATGAGCTACTATAGAAGTGAAACAGGTGGAAGGAGGTGTTATCGGGGGCTGAAGTGGGGGAAGGTATGCAAAGAGCAGTGTTTGCTTAGGAGCTAGATTTTGAGATGTTAAGGAAAACAGGAGGAGACTTGTTCTTTGTTTGATGTCAAAAACACTGCATCAACATTGCAAACATATGTTTATTGCATCAGCATCAATACGCATATTGTTCACTGAGTATATATATAAAAAAGGCTGAATATTCCTGAAACATCACATCATTTGTTTGGAAGCCACTCTGAATGCACCCTGTGTCTGTTTGCAGAAGTGGGATTCAGAAGGAAAAAACAAGGACATTTGGAGTCTCCTCTTTCATCAACGATATGCATTATTTCAACCAAACATGCTGCATTCTGCTAAGCCATGATAATGGATGACTGAATAATTGAATTAATCAGCTCCTCTTTAAGTGATTGGAAATGTAACAGGATCCAGGCAGCAGGTGGCATGGTACTATTTCTGCTCTGCTGGACTACAGGTAAGTGGTAACATGACCTGATAACTAGCAGTTCTCAACATCCTGTTTTGTGTTTGCAGAGAAGTCTGTGTATGGCTTTTTGGGAACGTATGCGACTAAATCAATAAATTTGCACAACTGTACACCTCCCCTCGAGTATAATCTTGAGCCGTCCTCTCTGTTACAGTGATATCCAAAGTTACTTTTTTGTTAAAAGTACATGCTATTGAAATGGAAAAAAAAATATGATGAAAATAGAAAACTTCTATTTCTGTCTCCATGATAGGCCAAGGCAATGAGGAGTCTCACAACAACTAGGAGGTGCACCTGTCCTCCACTCACCTCTTCCTACACACACACACGCGCACACACACATATACACACCTGTTTGCTCCCTGAACAATAAATCAAGGGTCACAGCTGCACAGAACCCAGTGGAACTAAGAATAATTATGATGCAATATTAAGAAAGCAGGTTTCTCCTAATACAAACGACTGTAGGATTAAAGCGTGATAAAGTGCAATGTCACCATTTGGTAGCTAGAAAAGGGAATATGTCATGTCTGATTTTGAGCATAACACAGTATCAGAGATGAATTGTTTGGTTAACTTCTTATGAAGCATCCTATCCCAGTTCAGAGACATGCTGGACCACTTTGCTCTCCTTTTCTTCCTCTTTTGCAAACATGGGACTACAGGAACACATGCGACGAACACGAATATATCTCAAATGCTGCTCAACGTGTACAGCAGTGGTTTTCAACTGGTCTCACTCTGGGACCCACATTTTCCCATGGACCTTAAGTAGTAACCCAAGCTAATTTAATTTTTACCAAAAAAACCCTTTAAAGACTCTAATCTTTAACACAAATCCAATAGTTTTATTGAGTAAAGTGCATTTCAAAGCACACGAAGGGGACAACATGAGGACGACAACTACTGAAGTTACGTGTGCAAAAAATATCGAATCTCTAATAAATGTCGCATTAAATATTTACTTTTTTGACCCATTCAGAACACGTCCCTGACCCACTTTTGGGTCGGGACCCACCAGTTGAAAAACACTGATGTACAGGGTTTCACTGTATCCAAGGGAGGGTAGATAAATCTTAAGGTTTGTCAGCCAAGATGCAGAATTTGCAAGGCAGAAAAGCAAACGATGCCTGATCTTAAAAATGGTGGTAACACACACACAGAAAAAAACAAACCGGAAAAAGGGCAGGTGTTTTATCTTCTAAAAAAACTTCGCCTAGTCTCATCAGATAGCTTATCAAAGCCAGCTGAAGCCACAAAGGGGGCAGATGGAGGGCTAACGAAGCTATCTTACTCCCTAAGACAAAAGGGAAAGTAATAGCTCAGCCATTGTCAATAGCAGTTAGTGTGTGAAAACCGAGCACTATCCACTCTTCATAGTCAAGTGGCTTAACTTATTTTGTTTTATCAACACGGTTAAAAAATACTGAATCCTTAGCGTGCTATATCGCCGCAACATTAGCTAAAAAGGGGGATACCAACAGGCATTGTGAGAAGACAGCGCTGGCGTTAGCAACCTAGCAACAACAGACACCTGCTCCTACTCCAGCTGACCAGCTAGCATCAGGGACTAGCCGAGACCGATGCTACAACACAAGCATGGTAAGTCCAGACTTTTAAGTTGCTCGGATAAACACGTCTCCTGCCAAAGTGACCACGTTTGGACCAGTTCAGAGCAGGAGCGAGTGTGTGTGCGGGTTTAGCTAGCTTTCGCAAACGAGCAGGACCTCTCACAGCTGTGGGTATCTACAGGCAACGTTAGCAATCCAGGCTACCACGTCACAAAGAAACACCCTCGCTAGCAAACTACCCCAGCTATTCACCGAGCCCTTCATTCAGCTGCACATAAACCTTCACCGCAGCATCTTTAACATCTCTGTAGATAAGAGAGAGAGGAGTTGAATTACGGCTACAAAAAATATATACCCCAAAAAATGTTTCCAAACCTGAGCCGTGGACTGGTTGATGAGATGAGGATGGTGGAGGAGGTGGTAATGATGGAGCGAGAGGTTGTTGTTGGTGGGTTACAGTCGCCAGGACTACGGTGACTATGGCGCTGCCTCACTGGGCAACAGTTGCTATAAAACTCAACGGGAGCGCGCAACCTTAGCAGGCAGGTGGGAGGAGATTAAAGCGCACTTTTCTTCACTCTATACGGAAATAAAGATGAACACACCCAAAATGCAAAGACTGCACATGTGAGTGTGTGGTGAGATGATTGAAAGACTGTCAATTTCAGTGTAGTTTTATGTATTTGGGGACTAACAGCTGATCATTATAATAAATTTCTTGTGGACACATCATGGTCCTAATGTTGTACGAAGATAACGCCTATGGGTCCAGTCTATAAACGATTTGAAGGTGCTGTAGGCAGTTAAGTTTTATTACCCATAACCCTGACCCATAAGCTTTACAATGTATTAATAACTTTGATATCACAGTATTAACTCTAGTGATTTTTACCTGGAATAATATACCCAAGAAAAAGTACTTGTCATCAAAATATTTCAAAATAGGACAATACATGACAAATTAAAGTAGTTTTCTTTTAGTTTTAACTGTGCAATGTCCAAATGGAGGAAAAAAATGCAACAAAATAACTGAAATTTAAATCAAACTATAGAGAAGTATTAAATGATTCATATATAAGTAAATTAACAAAAATATGGTTTTATACTAGATATACTTGATTGCCTAAAAGTAATATTAATTCTGAATATTATAACACTGATTATTATTATATTATGCAAGTAATTATAATAAGTAACCAACTGAGTGTTGAGCAGGTATCCTTGTTTATAAAATGTATGTATTTATACAGATTTTTGTAATTTATACAAATAGATCTTCTCTTTTTTTAAATCTCTAATTTGCAAGGAAGGGGCAGGACTAGATAAGCTTTTTGCTTCATTTTGTTCATTCTCAAACTGTTTATTTTTTAAAAAACATATGTTGTGTTAATTTATCTTTGACACTTAAAGTTGTTTGGTGTACATATGTATTATTTTGTTTGGTGTTTTTGTTTCTAGTTGTTGTTGTTTTTAAAGTTTGAGATAAATAAATAATAATAAGAAGGCATTCATGAACAAAAAAATTCCTAAAAACACACATTTACATATATATATATATATATATATATATATATATATATATATATACTGTAAACTTAGTTTCTTTTCCACCCATTCCTTGGGCATGTGAGTCTTCCCTGGTGAAGACTGAGGGTCCTTGGCACAATAACAGCTGCTGGAGAGAGAACCAAAATATGGCATATTTTAAGTGAGTAAAAATGACCAGCTGACTAAAATATTTATTATCACCATATGAACTCTTACTGACCCTATTTGCCTACATGCAGCTATCAAATCCACCCAAACCTACTTTACTCTCTATATTGCCGGGTGAAAACCACACAAACATGTGCCTGTAGGAAAAAGCAGGTTTTGGTTTAGGGAAACAAATATGTCTTCAAAGATGTTAAAGGCAATGCTGAAGCTACCCAGGGACTCATGATACTCAGACAAATGCAACATAATGAAAATCACGTTTGGTGTTTGATGAACATGATACACAAATGAGGATTAACAGCAAAGTTTGTAAATCTTCCTCAGGTGAAGACATACTCTGCTTTAATGAAAGGCGTTAAACTTACACAGAGGATGACAGGTATATTTATGGCACCATCTGAGTGTTGCCCTTTCTTTTGTCTCTCTCTATTTTGATGAAAGTCTAGTGTGTAATCAGTGTCAGTTAAATACAAACACAGAAAAAGTCCTTGATCCATTCACAGTGATAAAGACATGGTCATATTATAACGAGTGTCACGAAGGATGTTTCAGCTCTTTGATTTTATTTAAAAGGTGTGAGAGAATTACTAACCATTCTGCTCAAGTACAAACTGGCCTAACATTTCTGTTTTTTCTCATGTAGTCCAAGCTTTGAAGTATCATATGAAGGGACAGTTGGGCACAGATGATACTTACAAACAAATCCAGACTGAATATTTGCCTTTCACTGACCTCTTATGCATCATAGTGTTAGTGTGAATTTGGAATAAGTGTGCACAGGCAGTGCATCATGTTAAATATGCCAGATGGCAGGAAAGGCCAAGGGTGAATGACTTTCTGCTGGTTTGTGGGGTTACTAACCAACATGTTGCATCTTCTGCTACTTTCCAAAAGTACCCTCTTTAAAATTGGAAAGTGTTACCCGGTAAGTCACTTGGCCGCGTGTTTAGATTCACAGAGAAAGTTGCTGCTTGATTTTTGACCAACATTTTCCACCATTTGGAACAAACCTACTTTGCCTTTCTTTCCAATGTACAAAAATAGTTAAAATAGTGTTGCTTACCATTTTTTGCAAGTTGTTAGAGTTATCTATTTGTTAAAATAAAACAGAAGCTATTTTTAGGTTATTATAGCAAAGAAACCAAGAGTTACAATTTTCAAAAGTTACAAACAGCACAAAGAAGAGCTTAAAACAACAACAAAAACAAAATTTCCAATTAGCAGGAGTGAACAAACAAAGCCAGCGTTGTTAAAAGACTTCCTACTGTACACAAAGCTTAACCAACCACCTGTGTCCACTGCACAGCACTTTTTTGGTTAGCTGAACTAAACAGATGCTTTTTGGAAAAGCTGTTGTTGCTAAGCAACTACTGAAACCCCCATCTGAAGCATGGCACTCTTTTGCTAAAAGAATTATTTTCAAGTAATACAGTTTGTCCTTTCAGTATCAAACAAGAAAAATAGACTGCTGTGAAGACTGATGCTGTTCGCTTTTACATACAAGTCAGGTAGACAACAGCTGCTAATTATTTATGTGGTTTGCTGAACATTAGCTCATGCCCTCAGAATTTCAGTGTGTTATTTATATTGCTTAGACACGGCTTGATCTGTTGTGCATTTCGAGTTTGTCTCACTTTACTTAAAATTAAAAGGGATAATGACTTCAGAAACTGACTGAATTAATTAAACGGGTTTATTTTTACACAGTACAACGTTGCTGGACGTCAACACACATATAATAGCAATCCACTATTTTTGAAAGCATTTGTCAGAGTGTCAAAGATAGCTGTTTGGCACTGGCCAGTCTCTTTAGATGAGGCACAATAGTCAGTCTGGAAGGCTTAAATAAACTTTTCTTGACTCCAGTTTGAAATTTGGAGTTTAGTTTGTGTAATTGACATCTGTTGAATGTCATGGACTGTGGATGTCTTCTTTAAATGTGCTGAAACCTTTGAAATGATCCTTGTGTGAGCTAAAATTCAGCCACCATTAATTTCTTTAATGGAGTTTCTTTAATGAAAAAGAACAAAGAACAACCTCATTCAATGATAGACAGGCACTTTTTACAACTTTTTTCTTTTGATACATCAAAATATACAAAAAAATTAAAAATTCAGGCACTGTTTTTGCATTTTTCAACCAATATGTTTTTACTCTGCTATCACCACTTTTTAAAGGTGAATAACTAGTCTATTTTTTGACATATCTTTGTTTCATCGTTGCAGCCGAAACTGCAAAATAGACAGCAATATCAAAAATAATGGTAATGACAATAACCACTGTAAGTCTCTACAAGTAAATTGTCGTGCTTTATCAACATACACTACAATGAAAATCTGTAGGGAAACTGAGAGGAAAAACTGTACATTGTATACCCTGATGTTATGGAATGGTTAGGTGCAACATGAAGTGTAAGTAATTTGTACTAAACAAACCAAATCATGTGAAATCACTGGCATAATCATCACCACAAATCCACCTTACGATCAGGGAACAGGAGTCTCAATATCACATTACATTCAAACCACAGGTTATGGCCATGAACATTACATTGAAATGGTAAGGCTGTCTTGTTACTATAGTTACAAAGCCCTGGTTCTAAGAAAAACCTTAATAAATGATCCCTTGCATACTCCACTTTGATTGCAGTGTTGGGTATTGTGCAAAACGTCACAAGAAACTACTTTAAGTACTAAACTACATGATATTGACAAGTGGTGGGAAAACTGAGAAAGTAAACAACACAATCCTTTAGGCTCAGTCATCCCTTTACATTGATTATAAAGGCAAAAGAGTATTGAGCCAGAAAAAACACACAGGAATTGAGTTGAAGAGAGGTGCAGAAACAACACAGATACTTACTACAAATAGGTTGATTCCCCAAGTGATATCATAACCAAACAGCTATGTGTCCATCACATGAAATTTACCTAAGAACTACTACTTAAATTTGTCCCTGTTCCCAAGATGGTATTTTCTGTGATATCCAGGATGTTGTGGGTGGGATTTATAGTGTTGAACATGTCTGACCAATCAAGTCCCTGACACTTGCAGTGTTAGGGAGACTTGCGGGTTTGCGGGCATCCTAACTGTCTGGATATTTTACCATACTATGCTCAGATATTCACATAGCTCAGAGGTAAGAATAGCAGAAAAAGATAATCCAAGCTTTGGGGATCTTCTCACACTGTTGAAATCACCAAACTCACAGCACATCATCTTACTTAGTACTGAAATATTTCTTCAACTAAAGCAAGATCCCCAGACTTTACAGTTGGACATGCATGTATGGCACGTTTGACTCCAGAGCCCTCTAAAATCTGATCACAGTCAGCAGCTGTTATTACTCCTGTTTGAACATTTATGCTAACTATGAGGAGAAACACACTAACAGGCCGGCATAAATCACCACAGTTTGTTTCTGCTTCATCACTTTCAAAGTCAGTTTACATTTCCTTTGTCTGTCACGAGTGTTAAAACACTGTTACTGTTAAGTGTTAACTTTGTATGCCTTTTTTTTGCAGTTTAGAGGATTTCTCAGTCGAAGGCCCCAGGCTTTCTTGTCTTTTGAGCTCTGTAAACTTTTTCTGAGCTCTTGTACTCTTGTCCTGTTAAATTGAAAACACCAGATTTTGCTTATTACTCTCACCAGTCATTTTCTTGTCTTCAAAGATCTTTAAACTTCCAAGACTACAGACACAAAATCAAGGACTGTCGAGTCTCTTGATCAAAGTTTAGCGGAAATACTTTTTTTAAGAGTTTTTTTTTTAATTTAAGATTTTTGACATGGTGGCATGAAACAACCTGCTTGCTTCAGTATTCTTCCAGTTCATCATTTAATTCTAACCTTAAGCAGAACAAAGGAACACAATCATCCCTCAGTATAGATGCAGGAGACCTGGCTTATGCTCTGGTCTGCCACTCTGAAAAAATCCCCTCCATGCACCTCTTCATCAGGAGCCTCACCCTCTGCTCGGCTTTGGACATCAAATCCTGTAGCTGCACTCACACACACAAACAAACACACACATGCATAGAGACACATAAACATGCAGAGAAATATACTGTTGCTTGCATGCACGGTGAGAGGTTGTGAAATCCAATGGCAATAAAATGCTCATCCTCGAGCAATTGTGGTCAAGGCACATTTTCATTACCTGTATTACTAGAGAGAGCTGCTGGTAAAGCAGCTACCCCATTGGGATTATTGACTGCTGGAGCAAGTCTGTCACCAAAGGCATCATCTTGCATCAGGTGACTTGAGCTTGTGTGTGCTGTGATCCCACCATATTGCGGAGCAGAATATAGCATCTCCGTCTGCTCTGAAAGCTCTGCGGGATAAATGAGAGAAATTCACTCTTTTATCTTTGTTGTCAATAAATTCAATTAGAGTCCATACCTTTTCTCCTTAGATTCAACAGCCCAGTGAAAAGACACATTAATTGTGCATTACAGCCTATTTAAACCTTGTCTTTACCTCTGCAGTTTAAGCGAAATAGTGCGTCTTCAAACACTTTGTCAACACCACTGTGGCTGTCAACTCTGAGGGTAAAAGAGGTGACAGCTATTTATAAGTACATAGAGTAGAGCTTTGTGATTCAACTTAACCAGAAAATCACAAGCCACCTACCTCACACTACTGACATATTTACTGTGCTGCTTGATTAACATGCATGTGTGAAAATCTGTTTAAACAGGTTGTCAAACCTCAAAAACGTTTGCTTTCGTTGACTCCTGGTTTGCAGACCATAAAACTGTCATACACTTAAAAACAATGAAGAATGCTCTGATGAGAACTCTGTGAGCACCTTGATTGTGATCTGCCAGATCAGGAGGCTGCCTGGGGTGCTTTAGACTGCAGTTGTTCAGGGAAGTCCCAATGGGAGGGTGGGGCAGGCAGGTGGAGGAGCAAGGCCCACACTGGTCCCTGGAGAAAAGCTGGTGAGGGGAAGGATCAACACACCTGAAATATTTCAGACTGAATTAAACCTTTTGCTTGTGGGATTAAGAATATTTTAGTACATGGAGAGTAGATACATTGAGAACCAACAATCAAAAATGAGCTCCAAAATTTTCTACATCAAATCCATATCATCACAAAAGTGTAAAATATGAAACTCTGAGGTTCTTTCAAACATACTTCATGAATAAACAATCAATAAAAAGCACTTTGACTGAGGAAATTGAGCTTTTAATTTAATGTATTTCGGAAGGGGCGATAACAAATCAACTCAACATGGGGCGCACTCCTTAACTCTGCCCAGCAGAGGTCAGCAGTATTGATCACAAAAAGTGTGACACATACAAATACATCATAAACAGTGCTCATGAGATTAATATATATATATATATATATAGCAAATAATGGCAATAAACTATAAATAATGGCAATTGGTGGCAGGTAGAATCATTACCCCTGCTCAACCAAAGTTGTGAACTTGTGCACACATAAAATTAACTTATCTTGTTTGTCGAAAATAATAACTTGTTTGCGCAAGATAAAACTTAAGTGGCACTGTAAATTTTACTTCAAAAGAGATTTGACATATCTGTTTGCAATAAAATGTTTTTTTTTTTTTTGCACAACACTAAACTCTCAAGACTTTCAGTCATCAAAAACATCACGAAGCTGTTATTTTATCTTGCCAAACAGTTGATATAAGTAACAGCAGTGGCACTCCAGGGGCACTTAATGATAGACTTATTTACTGTTTTATTATAATACAGACAATAAATGAAGACAGCTTCATCTCTTTAGGGTGAACAGATAAAGTATGAACTTCTTCTGATTATATGAATATTGTTTTCTCAGTCTTGTGAGTATAGCAACACACCATACAGGGAGTTTAACTTTTTCATCATTACGACATTTAAAATGTCGTTATTCATTTTCACACTGTAAAATAAAAAGGGTTAAGTTTTATATTCAAACATTGTCTCAGCAATCGTGGCCGCTGACACCCCTGCTGTTAAGTTTGGCCAAGAAACACGTTTGTAAGGACTATAAAAGGAGCCAGAGTTTGCTTCAAATGAACTGGAACCCAAAGGAATCCCACCAAAGTGTCGAGAAAATGGCAACACGGATTTCACAATCGATTTAACATCTAAAAAAAAGTAATTACAGCGTCTCTCTTCTCCCACTGAACTTTAAATGGTATTTTTTAGATTTTATGATTCACTTATTGAATTCCTCAGCTGCTCTTGTCGGTGGCTATAGTATCCATTTATATCAGTGGTCTAGACCAATGAGGCAAGGCAAGGTCTGCTTTCACAGGCCAATTGTCTACCCAGAGTCCCGCAGTGAAAGCTTTGGCCTACCGCTGATATGAGAACAATCAAAGCCAGTGAGGAGCCGTGAGCATCTGGCTGCTCAGAAAGACAGAAATACTCCATCACTGGCTTTGAAGTGTATAGATGAAGGGACAGTTTTCTATGGGTTGACCGAAGAAATGTGTTCCCGTCTATCTCCAACCTGTAAAGCCTCATGCTACCAACAACACCCACCCACATGAGCCAAACAATAAATAAAACAAAAACAACCCTCTGGACTCTTTCTGGTAAAAAGTAGCGCTTTCATTTAAAATGATTAGTCTAATTATGAGCTTATAGACCAGAATCCATGGCAACCGATGTTTAAGTCTCAGAAAAAAGATTTACAAGAATTTAAAAGGGTCTTTGTTGAGGTTTGAAATGTCCAAATGGGAACACAGAGTGAAAGACATCAACAATTAAGCTAGCCACTCCAACTATTGACTGTTATTGGCAAATTCACATTGCGTTCATTTTACTGACAATATCTTCAAGGTGGAAATCTCAATCACACTGTTAGTCTTATAAATGTGTCCAACAAATGTTATACAATCTTCAGTTTCTGACTAAGCGATTGATAAATGTAATGGAATATAAAAATCCGGAGGAAAATCTGGCCATAATTTAAGACCTCCTGCCAGTAACACCCAAGCTGTAACACTAGAATATATGGCTTTCCTGTTGTGTGATACTACTTAACAGTATAATGAGTAATCTGCCATTGTATAGCTAACTGTAATGTTAGCTGGTGAGTGGCTGGATATAATACCAAAATGAAGACTCTCAGTACCTGTAATTATCTTGAAAGGAGCACAGCAGGGCCAAGTGAGGATTACTGAAGCTGTCTGGTCCCTGTGGAGCAGCTGAGGAACAAAGATGACAGACACTTCAGGGCTGTCCAGGGCTTTTTGAGTACACGTGTTACTGTGCAAGATATTGAAATCTATCAGTTTTTTAAAACAGGGAGCCAGGGCTTCAACATACCAGAGAAAGACTCGTGGGAAGCACCAGGGGAAGAGTTCAAGTTGTTGTCTATCCGTGCCAGAGGAGAAAGACTTGTCTGTAGCGGGTGGATGGTTAAACAGTCTGTCAGTGTGTCCTGGGTCATACCAGCAGTGGGTTTTATCTAAAGAAATGAAGTAGAAACACAAACAGTGGTGAATAATGGGGAAACGTCTTGTGTCTTTTTGATTTTTTTTGTGTAATTTACATGTTTCTTTGTTTTTTTAAATTATATTTATCATAAAGTGATGAGAATATCAGGATATCACATGCTTTGCATTGTATTTAGACACAAAAATAGCTCCATTAGTAGAGCTCACATGAGATATATAAGCCCATTTTTGATTAGCTGAGGTAAAAAAAACAAAGTTCACATTTTTACCGTATGTACCATGCCTCAGATATGATGTCTTTGCCGACTTTTATTAAATTCTGGGGACAGGAAATGCCCTGTAAGCTGCTTCTTTGTTCATTATTACCAGCTGCAGCAATACCCCTTTAATATCAAATTTGTTTTTCTATTTAAAAATGCCAGCTGTTCCAGACTAACAGATTGTGTAATTACCTGCAACACATGTGTATGTGCCAGCTCTTGTCTTTTTAATTTTGTTAAGCACATCAATTTGTTCACTCAATCCTTTGTGCAGGTGTATGTCATTTGTATCACTCACAGGAATCTCACAGAGATGGATGGATTACTAATTAAGTATATTTAATATAATAACTACAATAAATGCAGTTATAAATAATATTATATGCAGAGTTTGACAAGAACCAGCTCCTGGATGCATGTGTAGGTGGTAGTTATAAAGTATACAAGCTGCAGAGGTCTTGATAAGAAGTAAAAATATCACGGGCTGCTTCTGGAAATCAAATTACATTCATCTGAGTGAGATGAAAGAAGTTTTTCATGCGGTAGACTTTGTAAAATGCAACTTTTTTAGTGACTACCCACATTCTTTGTATCTATGGCGACATCATCCTCAGTAAAATCTGCAGATTATTTCTGTCACACACACACACCTGCAAAAACACCGCAGTGTCACAGTGTAAAGATTTGACAGGCAGTAGTCTTAAATATACAATTATAGAGGTTAAAACAGCACAAAAATGACAAACAGTGTAAGTATGTTATTTTATCTAGCTGTCTGACAAGTTGGATATTTATATCTGAATACTTGTATGTAAATACCTGAGAGCCAATGTGTTAGTTTTTCCTGCATTGCAGAACCCAGGAGAATGGCATATGTACTCAGTAAACTCATACAATATTGACAAGTTTAATAAATTAAATGATACTTGAGAATTGTAGTTATTTTGTTGTACTTTTGAAAATTTGGTCGAGTTGGAAAAGTGTCTATAACTGCAAAGCCTCAATCACACATGTGTATATTGAAAATCCAATATATTCTAAAGTTAAACATACTCCACTGACAATTGCACTTTTGTTTTGAATAAATAGTCAAATTGTAAAGTGGGCTGCAGATGCCCTCCATGTACCTTCTTCCGTGACTGACGTTCTTTAGTCGAGTGAGATTTCACGTGTTTCCTCAAAGAGCTGGGATCCGTGTATCTTTTTGCACAGCCAGGCACCTGACAAGTGTACGGCTTCTGTGCAAGCAAACGCACAAAAAGCAGAGACAGTTCCAATCATACTTTCACACACCGCGCATAAATACATGTTGGCTGTGCAAAGCTGCCACTCACTGTTTCCAGGTGTGTTCTCTGGTGTTTGGCTCTGTCACTTGAGTTGCTGAAGGCCTTGTGACATCCTGGATGCTGACACAGGTAGGGCTTCTCCCCTGTGTGGCTGCGCAGGTGAATCTTTAAGTTTTCAAGTCGAGAGAAAGCCTTCTTGCAGCCCTCAAACTGAAACCATGTAAAAAAAAAACAGAGTTGATATTGTAGTTCACGCAAACAGGTAGCCACAGATAAGCAGTATTTTTAAATAATCGAAATCACATTAAAATAGATGTGACACTGTCTACCTGTCCTCTTATTTCTTTGAGTATTGTAATGTGTGCACTTGTAAGGAACAGTTTTGCCTCAAACACTGAACCCTTCTCTTTTTATCTCAGTTTAAAACCAGCCATCAGACTTTATAACTCTTGTGTAAATAGTAGATAACTTAGTAGATTAATAAAGTTCTTCTTATTCTTAATCTTAATCTAAAAGCAATACGATTTTGTTGCCGTTTCAAATACATTTCTTAACACAACTATGCATCTTTTTGTGTCTGTCACCAGCAGGGGTCAGTATTTGGATACACATCACTGCATTGTCATTTGTGTTTTCAACCCATAATTTTGCCTAAACTTGACAGCAGTTGGGAACTAAAATCACAAAACAAATGAAACTCTGTTAAAGCAGGGATTTAAAAAATTTTCTGCAAAGCTCATAAATAAGATAAACTATTTTCCATGTTTAAAAGCATCACAACTAGAGACTTTTACTAAATAATGATGCTAAAACAGTAATAGAAGCCAGCAGCAGCTCTTTTTGCGGTGTCATGCAACCACAGTGACTTCATTCCTCAAATATGTGACGCTTTTCTTCTGAAGTGTCTGTAAATCCCTCTTTCACTTCCTGTTTGCAGGGGGTTTGGAATGTCCTTACTCAGCCTGATGGAGAAAAACACTCCCGACATGTCCATTTATGTTACTTTTTTCCTCCATGACTAGATTCCTCACATACCGATACCGCTCCGTAATCACTAAGAAAGCCAAATTTAAAATGTGTTTTCCCCCCCCTCTCCATTAATAGTTCACTTATAACATTCCTCTGCCATTCTAGATGGAAATACTTTTCTCTGTTGTTCACCAACTTTCACCTGGAATCAATTATTTTCCAAAATTAAAATTAGCCAGTGAAAATATGTATTTTCACATTACTGTCAGCTCCGTGTTTTTTGAAGCAAAGCTGTTGTTCAAATGTTTTCACAATTGTTTTCTGGTAGTTTTTTCATGACAGAACAAGGCCAAATATGAGCAGCACTGAGTATGGCAAAACAACTCATTTGAAAACCAATAAAGTCACAAAAGAAGAGGATTAAGCTTCAGTGGGGCACTCATTCTGATTCTGCTCGACTACAGTAAATGCTTCTAAACCTAAATATAGTTTAAAAGGAATTAACAGCAGACTTTTGAGTTGGATTACCACAAGAAAAACAGGCCAGACAGAGATAAATAGTCCCTAAGAACCAAAGTGAACAGACAAGCGAGAAGCGGTATAAAGCTGTTGCCAAGACTGGAGAACCAGCCAGGGCTGTGTTACTGTGTAACTCTCTCTCTGTCTGTCTCATGAAGCTCTCATAAAGCACCAAGGGCTTTTTACTCTGTCGCGAGGGACGTTTGGTCTGTGAAAAGAAAGCAGCACGGCTCCTCAGTGTAGATCAGTGTTACAGCCAGTTCCTGACAGGTCCTGGCAGGTACTCATGCCCTGGCTGAACAATGACAGCTGCGGTCTGTGCCAGCAGCATCTGTGCTGGGCCCAGTCCTTCTCCGAGGTCAGCCCACTCTGGACTCTACTAGCGATATTTCTACCCTCTTAGCTCTTTTTCTTTCACCTGCTTCCTCTACCCAAATATTTTTAGCTTTTTAGTCCCTGTATACACTGACTTCTACATTCCTGCGAGTGTGCTTCATGAGAAATGTCTGGAAAACAAAACTAAACAGATCCGTCTTCCAGTGGATGAAAGATTTAACCAGCAAATTATACGTCTGGCACCTTCAGCTTTAAAGCAATGTTCAGATATCTGACACTGTAAACCGCTACAATATGTAGAAATAATAGTAAAATAGCTGTAGGTGTATTTAAGGTATCAATATGTCATTTAAATGAGAAAAACATGTTAAGTCTAAAGTTGATTCGACTGAATTTAAACTTTCTCAGTGTTGTGTGGAAAATAGAGCTCGCATATACAGGCTAACAGTTGCAAAAAGCAATCAATGTCTAACTAGTTTGGGTTTCGAACACGTGCTTTTAAAACCTCATATGCTTAAATCACAGTGACAGGGGCAAATACACTCAAGGGTCAAGGATATGCTAGCAAACAGTTAAATTGTCATTAAACAGATTTTGAAATGACAGGAACAAGCCCAGGCCTGTCCTTTATGTTCACGCCGTAACACGAGCTACTGCATTGTTCAACTGCCGGCTCACACTTCATTTAACACGTATCAGTTTGTTCACTTGCCAATCATTTGGTAGGAAAGCGTGGACCCAACACTTTTGAGCGTGGTCTGTATCAAGGATAAAAGTAAAAGACTGGCTCTGGATAAATGAAATCTCCCCTTTATTTTGGTACTTTCAGCTCGCATAATCCCTCTGTGATATTTAAACTTGCGTTATTTTTATTCCTGCATTATTTCAAAGTCTCAGAGGAAGGAGGAGTTATCAACCTCTTATGAGGTCTTTGAAAATGTTTATTTGACTAAGAAAAGCTTCTGATTCCTGGCAAAACATCCAAAGTGGACCCTCAGGAAAATCCAAAATCTCACCTTTTTTCCCCATGTGATAAAAATCAGCCTGAATGTTTAAGAGGCTACTGTACTAAAAACACATGTACCACTTTGAACTCACTATGTTTTTGGCTATGCTTTTGTAACCCTTTCTATGTTATGCAAAGATTACATGAAACACAAACCCATCAGACATTTTCAGCCCCATGGCAACAGAGCTGGCTTCGACTAATAAGTGAGTATTTTAGTACAAAAGGTCGACTGCAGGTATGCATACAGTTAATAATTGACTTGTTGAAAGCAGCGACGTGAGGCATATTTGGCCTGTGGTTTGTCAATTTCTCATCCAAGTCTCAAGTATTTTCACTGTGGGAGTGACAAAGCAGGGAGTTAAGAGTTGTGTACAATCCATACATAATTTTGAGCCCTGCTAATGGCTCAACTGACAGAAATGCCAGTCAGTCTATAAGTTGGTCCTCACTCAATATGTCTAAACCACTGTTACATTGATTGCCTTTAAAGTTTGTACTCTAGTGTGCTGTCTGCACGAAATGAAGCCTTTTGAGCAGCATGACTCTCTGATGATTTTCCCCAGGGCCATCAGCCAGTTGAATTTTCAAGCTTTGGGTGAAATATTTAACCAACTATATGGTAAAGTGTCTTCAAATTTAGGAAAGCCTTTCACAGTACCAAGACAAAGACTTATTAAATAAATCTTTGTCGCCTTGTCTTATTCCAGACTCCTGCAACAACCAAACTTGACAGAGATCTTTGAATGCAACAAATCTGTATGAATTACTGCACATCATCAATCTTAGACAAACAAAACCATTAGCTCATCAATAATCAGGCCTGTGGACAGACGCCATCTATTTGGCCACAGATGCAGACCTGTAGAGCCAGACTATGGGGCATCACCTTCCCAGAACGACAGCCAAGTTTGTCAGACAGTGGCCTGGCAAAACCCCATCCTGCTGACAGGCTGTGTAGCGACTAGAAAGCATGGTACCGGGCCAGATCTGAAGTGCTAGGCATCCTTTGTGCTCGTTTAATAACTACATAATTGAGTTAACTCCCATGTCAATTATCAAAGAGCTTTGCTAATTACCCCACAGCTAATGGTAAGAAAAGAGAGAGGCTATATTTTTTATACAAACCTTGGCGGTAAACACTGAGAACATGAAGGTATTTGTCCTGAAAAGGTTTTTTCTTTTTTCCTGCAGCTTGAGGCTTGAAGCTTTCTAATATTGTGGCTTTGAATGCAAGACTGAGAATTGATCTCAGTGGGACCTGGACATTCATCATTTTTCTGCTTTGACTACATCAATTCAGCATCCTTACATATAGGTTAAAGTGTATTATTAGAAGAGGACAATTTCCTGTTATAAACAGCATGAATACAAAGTAAAGCTTTTTGTATCAAGAGAAAAGACAAGACTGTGTTGACCATAGAGTACCGTGCACTTGTTGGGTTTCTCTCCTGAATGGACCCTCATGTGGATAAGAAGCTTGTACCGGGCATTAAACGGCTTAAAGTTACGTGGACAGCCCATCCAGTAGCATGTGAAGTCCTCAGCCTTCCTCTGGTCCACATGTAGTTTCTCTATGTGCCTTACCAGCTCCTCCTTTTGCTCATACACTGCACTGCAGTTCAGCCATCTGCAGCAGTGTGCTCCATAGTCGTCCAGCTCTCCTTCTTCCTCCTCCAGCATTGGGACCTGGGGTAAAAAGCTAACCCCATGCCTGGAAGGGACAATAGGAGCATGCGTGAGAGGATCCTGAGAAGGTGGCTTCAATTTGCAGTGACGTCTAGTGAGATGGACGTGCTGGTGCGAGTGGTAGGGTGGTGGAGGCCCCTGAGGAGTTGCAGCTTCTTGGATAGTTGTCAGCATGGCTGGCTGTAGCTCCAGAGACGGCAGCAGGTTGTTGGTGGTTTGGCTGCAGCTTTGTAAAGTGTTCTCCAATGCCCCCCCTTCCTCTGGGAGGCACTGCTGCTCTACCACCATGTTTGCCATCTGGCTTTCCAGACCACCTCCCTCTTCAAGCATCTGTATACGACCACCTCCTCCATGTGGGGCCACAGCCTGTGATGAGCTTGGCATACTGTAGGGATGAGTCTGGGGAATGAAGCTGCCTTTCACACCCAGAAAGTGGCCATAACCTTCAGACTGGACAGGTGAGAGAGCACGGTGAGAGGCAGGAGAGCTCTGGGAGCCATTGATGTACGCCACAAGGGAGGTAGGAGAGGTGCGTATGATGGAGTTGAAATCAATACCCATGACATCTGACAATGGCGACATGGAGAGAGCTCTCTTCTTAGCTCGGGACTGTCTGGGGCTTCCAGCATCGCATGTAAAGAGGTATGAGGGCAGGGAGGCGGAAGTGCTGGTGCCCCCTGAGGTGGTGGTGCCTGACATGGCTGTACCAGGAGAGAGGCTGATCTGCTCTCCTCCCTCGCTGGCTGGCGCTAGACTTACTGGAGGGAGCACACGGTAGCCATACGGCCAGTCATGTCTGCCACTAAACACTGACTGTGTTTCAAACAGACTGAGGGTGGTGGATGCCAGAGACTCTCTGGACAGCAATGACCTGAAACACAGTGTTATTATCTGCTTTAGTATCGCTTTAAAGATAAAGTGAGCAAATCATCACACGCTGGTCCTACCTGGCTTCAGTGTGGGGGACCTGCACACCATGTGGATGTGATGGAGGGTGTGGCGCAGCAGGCCCTGCAGTATACCGCTGCACTGGGGCTACAGTCATGGGACTGCTGGTTACAGTCAGGTTAGCAGCAGCTGGCTGACCGAATACCTCCATAGTTGGGCGAGACAAAGAGCAACCTGTGAGAAACAAGCAAAAAAAGAGAGAACAAATCAGACAACAACCTACTTGTATATTTGATAAGTGGTTAAATATCCCTGAACTAGATGAAGAATCCATATCTAGGCTCTTTATTTACTCCCATTACATCTACATCTTTATTTTGATCACCAATATCTGGAAGGGATATTGTCACCCGATATTAGGGGAAAGCTGAAATAACAGGATGAAGACCTGTAACCTTTGAGAGTCTATTTCTGGGCACCTGAACTGCTGTTACGTACTGTTCTGGCTTTAGACCACTCAAATGTAACGCATCTGAGAACCAAATAAAACCCCTTCTGGTCACAGAGAGGACTATAAGACTGTGTGCTGGTGTGTGGATGTTTGTCAGACACAGAATGTGGTTTTACAAGATTTCATTTGAATAATATCTGTCATATACAGAGAACCAGAGGACTAAAATGTACCTTTTTACTCTGATGAGCCATAATTACAAACATAGGAGTTTCTCAATGTCTTGTTATTGAAAGACATTGTTCCTGTTTCTCCTCATTACACAGGGGTGGCTTTCAGTGCTATTCAAATGCATCTTTATATCACTCAGTCATATCTATTTTTTTAAAGGCCCCAATGAAACTAAAATGCACTAACTAAATATTCAGCCTACTTAAAGAAAAGTTTACACGGCTCAATGTGGACTTTCACTCTCCAACCTGAGCAGGCCGACACTCTTTCTGCTCTGTTAATCACTAATGAGCCTTTCGCCTCCTCCCTCTCTTTCTCTGTAGAAAAGTTTTATGCTCGGTTAATTTGAGATAAATAAGACGAAGAGTCTAACATATGACAGCAAAGGTTGTAAAAACTAAACTGTGTATCTGTTGAGATATTGGTCTACTGGATTGGTCTCTAACTTATTTTATAGATAATGTGCTTAAATAATGTACGTATTATTCTTAAATGCTGTGAACTACAGCATCTTATTATACTCTGCAAAATAAATTAAACTATTCTAAGTGATAATTCCTATCATTGTCATTTTTAATATGATCTAATTATCACTGTTTGCATTTCCATTTATTGCCTCTTTACCTTGACTCTGACTCTGCTATAACACTTAGATTTACCAAGTTTGCGTTATTAAGGTTTGGTTCTTTTTGTTTGTTGTCTGTTTATTGAGTTTTGCTCCCAAATCCTGGGCTAATTATACATTTGAAGCCCTTAAATTTTACCTCTAGAGCTGTTTCTCGAGGAGCAGAGTCCTGTATTTGCAGTAGTGGTAGCTGTTGTGGTTGGAGGACGATAAGCAAGCACTTGATGGTTTGGAGATGCAGTCTGTACGTTCGTTTGTTTCCCATTGGTTAGCACCTGTCTGCGTAGGCTCAGCGCAGGCAGGAAAACATGGCTTCCACTTTGTTTTCCAGAGATATGAGGGTTTATAGCCCCCTTTTTCACTTCCATGCAGGAGGAGGGACTGAGACTGGCCTGTTGCGGGGAAGTCATGGGCATCCTGATGGACTGGGGCTGGTGTCCTCTGATCATGTTCAATGATGGGGACACCAGGAGCTGACAGCCCTGTCCACTCATGTTGAAAGTAGATTGATCAGATCGACCAGAGGCTCTCAGCTCATGGGGAAGTAGATGCAGGTTGTCAAGTAAGCTTTACAGGGGAATATGGCGGTTCACTTTTCATACCTGGGAAATTAAAATAAAATGTAAAACACCCAAATGAACAACATCTACAGTGTATTGAAGTTGTGCTATAACACATTCTTGAAGCTTTATAATTTAAATCTTTTCCAAAATTGCGGGGCTCACAGAAATCTAAACAAAGAAACATACAGTGACTGCATTTTGGCATTTTTAACATATCAATCACGTAGCATAAATTTATTAATTGCATTGGTCAACATGTGTTTTTACCATAGCTGATTGTTAAGGTGTATCTAAGAGGTCATAATGTATTCAAAGTGTTAATGGTTTAGTGAAGAAACATAAGCATAAGCAAGGCACTATATTTTCATGTAATTCTTCATAAATCACACCTGCATTCAGTCAGTAATTATAATACTCAAGGCTAGACACACTATGGGTATATATGAGTGCAATAATAAGGCATTGTGAGTGTGTAATAATACAATATGACTTGCCCACATGAAGCCACATCATATAACTGAACATAATAATAAACCACAAGAAAGTGTCTTTGTGCATAGAACCTTAAACCTGTTGATGCCCTCTCATCTAGGATCAATCTAACTGTGCAGGATATTTTGAGATTGTTGGCTCTTTTATTTATCACAGGTTTACAGATATATAATACAAAAAAAAATCATTTGGAACAATAAAGGCTGTGAGACAATACACTTCATTTAGTGTTCTAAAGAGTAAAGTTTTTAGGAAGGATAACAAAAATCAGAAATAGTTCTAGTTTAAAAAGCACACAGCAAAAGTTCACTCACCTTCTGATGTCGTTAACACTCCTCATAAACTGTCATGCCAGTTTCAATGGCTTCTTCAGTCCACCGAGCTGTAATATACGCCGGATTAGACCGAGATCATCTGCCCTGTTTTCCCTGGAAGTTTGTGATGGGTGCACAGCTGAGAAGAGAAGTCAAGAGGAGTCTCTCAGTTTGAACGACAGCGTCCCGCCTCATTCCTGTTTCCAGGAACTTCTTTTCTTTCACACATTAGACTTCTCCCTCCTGCCCTTGAGACTGATCACAATAACCACGTCATTTCAAAGTGAGTGGAGCTTTGCTGTGAGTAATAGCAGATACTGATTTGGCATTTTTTAGTTGTCTTATTAGCCTACTTTGGCGCGTGTGCGTGCGCGAGCAACAGAAACTCTTCAGCGTGGGGGGTGGGGGGGGGGTCGTGTGCGATCACGCAACCGGTTAAATATCATTTCGAACAGATTGTTACTCAAATCAGGAAAACTGAAATTCGAAGATTTAGTAGAAGCACAAACACTGGCTGTAATGTGTAAAGCAAAAACAGAATATTAGCAGAAAGTGCACAACAACTGTTATTGTGTCCACATCAGGACTGCCATACTGTTTACATTCACTTTCTTCCACTCACCTTCTTCCTTAAATTTATACTTTTACACTGTTTATACTGTTGTGCTGTTTATATTGTTATCTTTATTTTGTAAATTGAAAGTATTTAAAGTAGTCTTTTGTTTAGCTTAGTTGTTTATTCTATATTTATACTTTTATTCTTATAGTTTATTCTTTTGCACCGTGGGTCTGAGAGGACTGAAATTTCATCTGTGCTGTATGTTTACATGTATAGCATATTTGACAATAAAGTTGACTTTGACTTGACTTTGACTTTGATATCAGATCAGATGACGGAGAACAAAGGAGGAAGTTTCATTTTAAACACCCGTTTGCATGGACAACTTTGAAGCAGATGTGTATCTCTGGAGTGGCAATTAGAAATTATGACAAAAGTAACCAATGACTCTTGTGGAAGAGTCAGCTTGAAACTCTGTCTTTTGTTTACATTTATTCTTATGCTTGTTTTATTTACTTCATGGTATGACTACAGTATAGCTCAGTGACCGATAAGTCAGTTTGAAACTCTGTTCTGTTCTGTTTGTTTTGTTGTTTTTGTTTTGTTCTGTAGCATGAATGTTGCTCAGTGATAGATTATTAGAACAATCAGACTTTGAGTGAGAGGCAGGTAATATAAGATGTTTCTTCTGGCTGCTCCCTTCCAACCGATGGATAGGAAATGTTGCATTGTGACATGATCAAATTGAGAAATTGCCTTGGTTGGAATAAATAAAAAGAAAGAAAGAAAGAAAGAAAGGCTCAGTTTTATTATGTCATGATTGTTCAGTTTTACAAAATGAAAAGTTTGAACCGCACCCCTTGCCATCTAACAGCCCACACTTATTTACCTCTTCCTCTCCTTTCTCATGTGGTAATTTGCACGTTACACTTGTGGGAATATCTTGAACCTGATGCATTTATGCTTTTTATCTTAAGGTGTAGCCTTTGATAAAAGGGATTTGGGTGTAAATAGGCAAGAGGCAACAACAGTGTCATTAAAATGCTGAAAAGAAGTATTTTCATTGTTATAAAATATATCTTGATGAATGAAATAGCTGGACTAAAATACAAATGACTTTAAACTATAACAGTCAAAATGATAGACTAGGATACATTTAAAGTTACAGAAATAAAAAAATTCAAAAAACACAACAGGCCTCAACCACTGTGATCAAGTTTTAAATAGCTATAGTCCTGATACCTAAAATCATTTCCAAAATAGAATAATGATTTAAAAAATCAACCAGCTGCTCTCTGTTACCTGCTGTCTTCCCCTTCATCTCACACTTCATTGTTCAACACTTTCCTCCTGCCTGCTGCAGTGTTTGCTCTGTAGATCTCTGCTCCAGGTTGCCACGGAAACCAGAGTGTTTACAGAGAGGGAAGGGATGGAGGCTGCTCTTTGGGATCATACAGTGGGAGAAATGGATCTTCTCCACGATCTATGAGAGCTGTGAAGTTGACTGACAGCTTGGAGTTAATTAAATCATATGTGTAAATAGAGAGCTGACTGCTTAGGTCATGGATGATAGTCTATTTTTAGGGTCTTCAGTCACTGTGAATAATACACTGAGGGTTTGCATTGATCAGAATTGTGCATTTTAGCTGCCTTTGGTTTATTAATTTTGATTGCTTTTGTGGTTGTTAATGCTTTCTTTGTTTTTTATTAGATTACTTCGCTTGTCACAGTTCTTTGTTTGTATTCTATGAAGGATAGCTGTCTTTGTTTTCTATGATCATTTGATGATTAGGATTAATCTCTTGAGATTCGATACATGAAATGATGCTTTTGAAGATAAAGAAGTGGTGACCTCTGGTGGGGTAACACTTACTTGACCTACTGAAATGCCAGCCTTTGATGCAAATTTGAGGCCTACATTTACACAGATTTTGATCTTAATTTGATAAATATATTAATTTCAACCCCATAATCCTTTTCTAATGTCCTTAAAACATTTAGTTGCTATCTTTTGAGAGCAGTGATTTATCCCAGTCAAGAGTCCACTCCTTTCCCATCTGTTTTTGTCTGATGTTCCCCTCTTTTGCCAGCAGGGGATACTATTAGCACACCAGTGGTGTGGTTGCCATCTGGTTAATGGTACTACACATTTTTAGATAAAGCAAAACAGAAAACGACAGAAAAAAAAAGACATGTAAAAAATGAAGAAAGTCAATTTTAATGTCTGTGAAGGTCAAAAGATAACAGTGCTTCTTGTTTACACGATTATATAAAGTATTCTCTATCTTTCAGGGATCTTTCATGCTTTGAGCACTGATCTACCAGCCCCGCTGAGATTTGGCCTCTCCTTCCCTCGACTGAGTGAGTCACGGTGGGTTTCCAAATGTCAGAGTGTAACGGGGTAGTAAAGCGTCTGAGCTCAAGGCACAGCACAGATGTAGACACTTGCTCTTCTTTCCTGCCACAAACACTGACACTTGGAGCACTGCTTTCATGTTTGTGCTCATACTGGTTAACATTTAAAAAGTGGACTGCTGTCTCAGTCAAAGAGAGACAATGTGATTCTTCCTTTTTGTAGTCCAAGGCCTACCTTAAAGCCTCCAAATAAAGTATGCTTTCAGGAAATAATTTGAGTACAGAAAGGACATAGATTAAGCAGAGCAGGGGTGTGTCTGTAGGTTGGGCTGAAGTTATATACAGCCCTCTACTGAATTTTGACCAGCTGAAGTTCAGTGCCGAAATTGGCCTTTGCCAATAGATGCCCCCATCTAACTTATTTAGAAGCTGGCAAAAAGGTGAGGTGAAAGCCACAGCTTTTCCAATCAGAAAACAGCTACAACAAGCCCACCTGTATGTCAAATCAGGCCCACATCTACCTAAATATGCATTACTTTCATAAACCCAAGGGAGTTAATTATAATCCTGTCCCCCATACCTTTGTTGTGAACAAAGACATTTAAAACATGGGCTAAAATTGGATTTTCTTTGCATTTGCAGTCAAACCTCCAGTTAACAGTGATGTTACTTGCTTTGAGTTTGCTGCTTGGTTCAGATTAATTTATTGACCTATGATGCAACAGGCTTCTAGTGGATTTAGCGGCATTTATTGGTATTTTACTCAAGGGGGTAGGAGGAGTTGGTATATAAGTTTCCACTTGACAAATCTTTTTGAGTCCTGAGGAAATGACACATAGAAGACATGTAAGGTGTCACACCTCATTTAAAGCTCCTGTAACTTTTGGTGGGTTGAATTTGGCGCCCTCTGTGGACAGGGTGAAACGTCTTGTCTCTTTACTTTGTCCTGTTCATGTGTAAATTGTGTCAAAGGATCTCCCTAATAAAGTTTTTTCTTTCTTTTCTTTCTGCTCTGGGATGACTGACATCTACCTTTCAGCAGCAGTCTTTAGCATCAAAGATAACCACCTAGAAGTGATCAGTCATATGTTCTTTTAGCACATAAAGAGGCATCAATGTCAATTTAATGCTGTGTTCCACTTCCCTTGGAAGTCAGAGCTGGGAATGACGTTACACCCGAGTTGATGGCATTCCACTAAACAGGCCGGAAA